TGATAGAATATTGCTGGTAATGGGGCTGTCGGACCCTATTACAACTGCTTTCCCCCTACATAGATAGATACTCTTTATTGTTTTTTTTTTAATAATCTTTTCTTTACACTATTCTTTTCCATCCTTCAACCCCCGATTACCTCAAAATGTGCTTTGAGTTTAATGTCGATTCTCAGGGTCGTACATTGCGCAGCGCGAGATCCCTTCGTTTCGTAACTCCTATTCATTCTTCTAAATTCTATTCCTATTTTTTCATTATCCAAGCTATCCGCCTCTGGAACTCCTTACCTCTTTCTATTAGATCAGCGCAATCTATTGCCTCGTTCAAGAGGCAGGTAAAATCTCATTACCTATCTCTCTAATTTGCTTTGACGTTTACTATGTGTGATTTATCTTGATCTATTTAGTATATTTATGTTTATGTATTATTATTTATATTATATATGTATGTTTATGTATTGCAATCTTATTTTATATTTAGAATATTTTGCATTTTGTCTGATTCCTTTTATGCATTTACTGTATCTGACTTGCGCCATCTACCTTTCTCTCTGTACTTATCCATTCTTTATGCCAGGTTGTCTGTAAGAGATTGCTTTTAGCGATAAGGCCGCCTTTTGTATATGCACATTCTGTATAAATACTCCTTGTATACATCTCTACTGTGCGCAATAAAGAGTTTATTATTATTATTTTTCGATATTTCCAGGTACGAGTATAAAAGGGTCTGTACCTGTGACAGTAAAGTCATTCGGAAGTAGTAACTAGCGAGGAGTGTACGTTTGGTTTCTAATGTTCGTTTATTATTTTAAATATTATCTACTGATATCGCAATAATAATAACAATATTTGTGAGCAGTGACTGTGTTTGAGTGCGCGTATTAATTTCTATTTGACAATAATTTTTTTCTCTTCCCCCGTTTGGGAAAATCATTAACGCGGTGACGACAGTTAACGGCTGAGATTTCTTAAGGTAAATATACTCTTAGAATTAATTATTTTTAGAATTATTGCAACTTTTAAAGTATCGTCTGAGTTGTTGTATGTGTATGTGACCTTTTATTAATAGTTCAAAACAGATGGCATTCAATTGCTTGCTCTTGTACACTTTTTTCGAAAACTTTCTCAACTTTATTCTTATTAATTGATTCCTTATTTTGTTGTGAAGAGCAATGGAGAGAGCGATAACACCAGAGAGCAAGCGCCGCGTTCGCGCAACCCTGGACGAGATCTCCGCACGCCTGGATCGCCTCCATTCTGAGGTCTTAGTGCCGCTCTTGAATGCGAGGGATCGCAGGTCAACTTCCACGCCCAGCCATCAGAGCCGGGCCTCCTCGCCCCGCAATGAAACAGTTAACCAGCAGAGAGGTGAGCAGATTTGTAATGAACAAAAGAAATAAATTTTGCCTCTTGCCATACCTGATTCATATAACAAATTATAAACTATGTACCTCCTAGACTTTTTAAGTTGTAACTGTTGTTATTTTGGGAAGTTTCTTTTTATAAAATCTCAAAACCTATGCTAGTTAAAATACCGTTCTATTTATTATTTTAAATGTGTTTTATTCTTTTTAAATTGAAAAGGTTTACTGCTGTGTTGGTCCCACACGAATATTATTAAGAATAAATTCATTGTTTATATTTGCGTTAGATTTTCCAGTATAATTTATCGTTTCTCGTTTTATTGTTAATGCCTATTGTTGTATTATATGGCAATTGTTGTATAATTAACATTCTTTGAATTCAGGTCGTGAATGTCTTCATATCTCGAGGTCGCCGGAAAATGAATTAACAAGAAATTCCACGACTGTCGACGACGTTGAAATATTTGGGTGGACCTCACCTCTTCCACCGCCGTCAACAAACTCGGTCTGCTTTTCTCCGCCCACTTCAACAGCCACTTCAGAATCTAGCCCACGGAAACGCGTGCGCTCTGAATCTATTGATTCAGACTGGACATCAGAGGGGACAGACTTCAGTGATACTAGTGAATCGCAAGATATTAGCACAAATTGGCAAATTGACTCAACACCGCCAAATAAAAAACCAAGACTGGAGAAAGCAATAAAATATAATGGACCTTTAGATGTTGCCCTGAAAGATTTGAGGCCGAATCAACTGATTGATATAATTAAATCTGTCATGGACAAACATCCAGACATCGAGGACGAGGTCAGAACAAATATGCCGGCCCCAGACTTGTTGCCGCTCGAGGAAAGGTTTTTCCATTTAAGATGGAATATTGTGAAATTGTTGTCAACACCGGGAATGAATTTTGAATACGGTTCGCTGGCTTACTTTCACGCACGTAGCCACTTAGAAGCTTTCAACAAGTATTTAGTGGAACAGGGGAAAGTCCTGTTGGATTCTCAACAATGGAAGTCTGTTATTGAATATGTGTTGTTAGCCTGGAAATATGTTAGAGCTATATCTATATGTGATCGTCACATACATATTCCCTACAGAGCGCTGTGCTTCGAAAGGCTGTCTGCTTTTTGCATGACGGCTCTCGAAAAAGGATATTTTGATAGGGATCTATTGATTGATACTCAATATGAGCTACAACGCATGATTGTTGATTATGAAGACATCGAATCATGTATAGAGAAAATTGAAGAAGAACTCTCGTATTTGTGATTCCTATTGTACCTAATGTTTAAGGAATTGCCTTTTATATTTGTCTATTAGTATTTGTAATTTTTTTTATTTTTTATTTGTATGTATTAATTTGTATCAAATATGATGATTTTTTTGTAATTTATATCTCTTCATTTTTTGTATTAGTAATAGATAGTAGGAATAAAGGCCTTGTATTACTATGCATTTGATGTAATACTTGTATTAGTTTTATTACAATGTAGTTGTGAAAAATGCCAAAAGTATTATTTTGTATGTAAGAGTAATGATTTTTGTAAACTCTACAAATGTATGTAAGTACATGAGTGTATATATTTCGAGAGTTACTATTATAATTAGACAAGACTGATATAAAATAAAATACTAAAAGAAAATTTAAATGAACTATAATTAGGAAGTCACCTATGAAAATATTTTTGGCTAGCTAGATCTCGACAATTGTAATATTTAAGATTTGTGTTTTTATGTCAACAATATGTCAAATAATAATTTAAAGGTCTCTCATCGCAAAGAGAACACAGTATTGTAATAGAAACATAAGGGTAGAATTAAACATTAAAGAAAATATATTTAACAAATGTTTTTTTTATTTTACCTACTTATTTATTATTTTACCTTATTTATTTATTTGTTTACTTATTTATGACCTTATTTAATAACTTGTTTATTTACTTATTTATTTAATTACGTCTTTATTTAACGCAATATTTTTAATTTTTCCATACAATTATTCATACACTCATTTCATATACTTTACTAAACCTTATCAAGACAATTGTAAACACAACGAAAAAAGATTTATTACATAAATTTACCAATCGATTCTTACTCATACGGATAGGTATATATCAGCTTTGGTGTAAGGCGTAAGTATTAATTAGAAAATTATCTGACAACGTTACATTGCGCTTAATTAGTTTTTAATGGAAGAATTTAAACATTATTTCCCATAATACTATAATTACATATAATTACATTCCGTTCGATTGTTTTGGCATGAATGAGTAAGAAATTTGCATTTATTATAGTAGCATTAGGATATACTAATAATAGCTGTATTCCTGCGGCTTCACTGACTAAAGCATTATATGAAGCATTGTCACAGATAATATGATAGTATACTAGGTATTGTATAGGTTACGCCTCTAATTCATAAAAACTGAAATATTCTATAAACATACTTTAACTGATACAGTGTTTTGTTGTTTAATTTAAAGAAAGAGATAAAGTAGTTGAATAGCTAAAATAGGTTTGATGTTTTTATGCATAAGGGGGTTACCGACCCGTATACCAAATTTCATTCTAATTTGTGTAGCAGATTGAACGTCATTGAATAATAAACATCTTCCAATCAATCAGTGATGATCAGTATAGGTTCCATTTTATTTTGAGGCTTCTTAAACTACGAATTGAAGACAGCTTTAAAATGCGTGTTGAGTCCTAGAATTATGTTTCGTTCTCGCCGTGTAGTCTCGCCATAGAATGGACCACCCCTTCCCTTTATGACATAACACCATAGTCTTCAAGAAAAACAATTCCTAGGTCGTAATCCATAATAATCCATAGGCGTCGCCTATCCTGAAGACTTCTACGACAGAAATAAGTATATATATATATATATATATATATATATATATATATATAAAATATATATATTATATATATATATATCTATATATATATATATATACACACATATATATATAAAATATATATTATATATATATATATATATATATATATATATATATATATATATATATATATATATATATATATATATATATAATATTCTGTAATGTTTACCAATCCGTCCGATCCATTCCCTTCCAACAGAAGAGTTATAAACTTGTATGTCGTTCTAAGACGCATAGTTATATACACAATATCATTACAAAAAAAAATATAATTTTCCCTGTAATCTATTTTGCTAAATAATATAGTAACTAATGACCACTGATAACCTTTCAGTACACCTATTCTTAAAGACGCCCATTGTTATCATTATCGTAATGGCTTCCTGTGTTCATTTTCACTAATCTATCACTAATTATCTATTTTTCAACATTTCAAAGTATAAAAGGGACTGTAGCTGTGATAGTAAAGTCATTCGGAAGTAGTAACTGTCGAGGAGAGTACTAGAGTTCATTTATTAATTAAACATTACAGATAGCACAGTTGTAATAACAATAATAATTAATAAAATGTGTGAGTGATGATTCTCTTTGAGTGCGCATATGAATTTCTACCTATTTGATAATAATTTTTATTTCTTCCCCCGTTTGGGAAATTTGGTAACGCGGCAACACGGTAACGCAAGTTGGCAGCTGAAGTTGCGTTTTCTTATTTAATTGTGAAGAGCAATGGAGGAAATGATGACATCAGAGAACGAGCGCCGCACTCACGCAGCCCAGGCTGAGATCTCTATACGCATGGACCGCCTCCAACTCACAGTTTTAGAACCGCTCATAAATACCATGGATCGCACGCCAGCTGTGCCGCCCAACCACCTGAGTGCGGCCTCCTCGCTTGATGAAACAGTTATCCAGCAGAGAGGTAAGCACATTTTTTTTTATTCAACTTAGAATGGCAAACAAGCTGATGGCCCATCTGATGGAAAGTGGTAACCGTCGCCTATAGACATGAGCAGTACCATGGACATTACAGAGTATACTGTTTCACCCATGATACCCCCCATGCGTTGCCATTCTTGAGGACTCAGGTGTTATTCCTCCGTTCCCAGTAAATTCACGTTTATGATGAATAAATGAAATAAAGTTTCCCCTTGCCACATTTGATTTTCCTAAGTATCAAATCATGAACTTTTAGATTAAACAAACACTAGTTTTTAAGTTAGACCTTCAGGAACATAACTGTGAAAACCGCGTTCAATTTGGTAAAGTAATTTATGCGTGACGTTGTACGTAATTTTTCATCAGAAAATTAAGAAAATGTACTTTTCCTCTTTTTTTATGATCTATCTGTCTATCTATCTATCTATTGTTTATATATGGCAATTGTTGTATAATTAACATTCTCTAAATTCAGGTCGTAAATGTCTCCCTGTCTCGTGGTCGCCGGATACTGAATTAAAAGGAAACTCCACAATCCACTCATTTGTTCAAACAACGCCCAAAAACGCGAGCCACCTTACTTCGCCGACTTTAGCAGACACTTTACGATTTGCCGCTCGAAAACGCTTGTTGTTCGAGAATTCTGAGAGGATACCTTTGACACAAAAGGAGGTCGACTTCAGCATACCGCAACAATTTGAAATAAGTAGCCCCATTAAATCAACACCGCCGAATAAAAAAACAAGACTCGAGAAAACAATGGAATATAATGAACCTTTTGATGTGGCATTGAAAGGTTTAAGTCCAAGTCAACTGATTGATATAATTAAATCTGTCACTTACAAACATCCAGAGATCGAATACGAGATCAGAAAAAATATGCCAGTTCCGGATTTGTCGCCTCTCGAGCAGAAGCTTCATTATTTAAAATCGAATATTTATAAAGGGCTTCCGACGTCGCGGTTGACTTCTAAAATCGATTCGCTGGCTTACTCGCGCGTGTCTACCCATTTGGCGGCATTCAAGAAGTGCTTAGTAGAACAGGGAAATGTATTAGTGGAGTCTCAACACTGGGAGTCTGTTATTAAATATGTCTTTCTAGCCTGGAAATATGTTAGAGCTACACCTGTATGGGATAATGAGGCACATAATACCAACAGAAAGCAGTGTTTCAGAGCGCTGACAAATTTTTGCATGACGGCTCTCAAGGAGGGTATTTTAGAAAAGGATCTATTGATTGATACTCAAGATAAGCTACAAGGTATGGTTGCAGACAGCGAATACATACAATCATGTATAAAGCAAATTCAAGAACAACTGTGATTCAAGAAAAAGTGTGATTTAAGAACATTTGAAAATGTCTTAATAGTAATGTCTAAGTGTGTGCATTTTTTCTTATTTATATGTGTTAATATTTTTATAATTTCAATTCTGATATTTTTAATTTTACTCTTTTTTTAGTCTTATCTTGAAAGAAATTAAGAATTTTATGTTTTTTTTTTTTTTTTTGTAATATTCTCTTCACTTTTGTATTATATTAATAGATGTAAGAATGAAGGCCCTGTATTACAATGCATTTGATTACTTACCTATATCAGTTTCTTTTCAATGCTATATTGATAATTATACGAGTATATTGGTTTTGCTGGAAGAAATCTCTTATTAGAGATAAGCTCGCCTTTGTACATTATGTTTATAATGAATTGTAATTACCAGTATGTTTTGTGTACAATAAAGAATAAAGAAGAATAAAAGAAACTGATATAGGTAAGTTATAAGGTTAATATGAATAATGCCAAAATATTTATTTTTTATAAATACAAAAACACTTAATTATTTATAATCTTATTAAATACATTTTAAGAAAGTATGAACAGGAATTATTTGTATAATTGTTTATTTTAATGTTGCAATTTCGTTTATAATTGTTTCTTCTTGAAAATGAACTACTATAACTTGCATAAAGTAAGCATTTAGTGTTTTGATGTAATCATATAAGTAGTGCCATCGTGTATGACTAAGTAGTTCGTAAGTACTTATAGTTTCAAAATGTAATTATTTGCATTTAATTATACTGAGAACAATATTATTGTACTTTAAATATAAACATTAGAAACATTCTACGAACTTGTAAATTGACCAAATATCATTTTGTTACTATGGTACAATGTCGAGTTTACCTATTGTGTATAAGTTTTTAAATGCATTTTTACTCTTAATAAAATATATGTTTAAATATTAAATAATTTGTTTCATTATTATTATTATGGTGAACCCGGCATAGAATAGGCCACCCCTTCCTTTCCTGTGGGTGTCGTAAGAGGCGACTAATAGAGGGCGAGTGACGGGCAGCAGCGTCCGCCTGCCAATCGTGGCAACTATGGGCACAACCCCCCAAGTGAGAAGTTTATGTTCAACAGTGGACAGTTAAAAGCTGATATAATTATGACGATATATAAAAAAGAATAATATGTATTTCATTATATATTTTAATGCGTTCATGAACGTAATAGGTATCTTATATAGAGTTGTTACAATGTTATTATGAAAAGTACATGAACCCTGTTTGGATATAGCAAAATTTAATCAATTGGTAGCTTATATACATACATTTATTTATTTATTTATTTATGTACACTTTATTGCACCATTTATAAAATAGTAAACACATTTAACTGTAATAAGAAATGATACAAAAGGCGGCCTTATCGCTAAGCAATCTCTTCCAGACAACCTTTGAGTAGAGAACATACATTTATGTCAATTTAAATGTTATATATACCGTAAAATTAAATATATACCTATTGCATTTTGTTTTTATCTAATAGAAAATGCCAAAAGGCAAAATTAAACTCACCATTTGTACAAATTTTAATTTAATTAAATTACCTGTAAATAAATATTATTCTATACCTATTTATTAATGTAATTCATATAACACGGTGTGTATATAAGTAAACTTATTGAGATAAAGAAAATTTAAAGAGAAATTTGTAAGTGTGAGAAATGTAGGCATATTTAAGGGGCAACCGCGTTGGCTGTACCCATCAAGAGCTGTCTGACTCCCACCGCAGAATCTGAGCGGAGCTTTGCACTATACGATACACAAAGACGTTGGAGAAAACAATCGCCAATGACGTAAGTCGTTGAATGGAGCAACCGATTTCTATACAAGAGACATTGTATAGACAATACAGTGTCTATTGTATGTATATTGTGGGTGTAATAAACAGCGGTAGAAAATCTATCGTGCCGTCCATTACATCCCTTATACAATGTTATGTATTGTAGCTATTTAAATATAAAGTTACCTTTGTCAACAGGTATGGCTGGACCTTAAGAATATACCTACTCATAATTTTATGAGCCATTGTTATTATTATGACACAAACACTGAGTACGTTTCTTGAAAGTTAGTACTGTTACATAAATTCGTTTTCACAGCTATTTCAATGTATAATAGCGGCTGCCCTTTTTGTTTATTGAAAGGTAAATATTAAGCCATTGTGATAACGAAACCTAAAATGGGCAAATAAAATAACATTATTATGTTATTACACAACGGTGTTGTTTACATTACGAGTTGTTTTTGTTTTACGAGTTGACGACCAATATCTATCTGAAACTTTTATTTTAATAATAGTCATATTCATTTTTAAGTGTAGGTACAAGACTCGTCTTTAAAGCTGTCTTCACTTTCTAGTTCATGAAACCTTAAAATCAAGGTACCTACGCTCGATCTCGACGAGATCTTGACGCCTGCTGTTGAATCGCTTATAGGTAGACATGAATAGCATGACCATTAACACTATGGGCATGACAGATACTGCAGAACCATGATATAGCAGGGAAGAATCTATTAATAATAGCCCCACTGCAAACAATATACTCTGTCAGGTCGACCTCCACGTGGTTCGTCCTAGAAATCATCGTGGTTAATTCTTGTGGAATTTGTCTTGATGGGCTTACTGACCTGCTTTCGTCCTCACCTGTCACCTATCACTGGTGGTCCGCCAAAATATACCGATTGTGCAGGCGGGGTCACATTCCATAATCATCCATAAAATAGAGGACACCCATGATACCCAATTTGTCTATGTAGGTACCTATATATGTTATGTCCAGTTCCTTGCCTGAAAACTATAGTGTTAAATAGACAAGTATAAATATGCCTCTACACTACATCTGTTCTTTGTAGGTAAATACCTACTCCATAATTTCATTGCCATATCCCACTTTTTAAACTGCGTTACATATTTTTACCTACTCAATTTATATACCATTTCAATACCATTCCATTATCACACATTTAAAAAAAAGCAGTACCTATAATTATAGGTAACGATGTGTCTGTATAATGTGTCCAATGTAATTTGAGTATTTGGCTTGTTGTTGAAATAATAAAGTAAACAAATTAGCTAATGAGAGAATTTTATATTGATCGACTGTGTACTTGTACCTACCGTTGTCTAATACTCGTATTGTTTTTGTCTTATTTTCAAATGACCAACTTCGAAATAACAATTCCTGAGTTGCGGACCCATGGAATACCTAAAGTGTACATAATAGCTTTATATCTATTCTGTGTGTGGACCATCTTCTTATTATTCTCAGTCATCCTAGGAAATAAAACGCATCACACACTAGTTAATTCTGTAGGATGACGAAGTAAAATTTGTGCCTCCCTTTACACTATGAAAATACGAATACAAGAGAAGATTGTCGAGGAACACAGTATAATACACAGTAGAGCACGCCTCCTGGCCAACTTAATAATAATAGGATATACCATACTCTTATAGGGAGTCCATTACATTAGCAATTTAACTGTCAGCGCGTAGATTCCACGGGCGACACGGTACAAGTATGTAGGTACATGTTCCTTAGCTGTTCTGTATTGGATCGTTAATTAAATTGGAACTTAATTCACCATCAGTTTACTTATTATTCTCTATAAAACTATTCCATTACATCGCCATAGTTCCTCGTAGGTTCATGTAGCCGGTTAAGCATATCATTGCACCGTGCAGCAATACATGACTGCACACAGCATCCGGGAGAGGGGATTATCAGTAATAGGGACTAACAATAAAGCCTGCTAGGTTGGCCTCCACGCGGTTCTGTCTAGAAACTATCATGGTAAATTTTGATGAATTCATTACGATGTGGTAACTAACCTGCTGTTATCCTCGCCTTTCATTCACTCCCTCACTGGTGCCCCGCCAACGTAAACACCAGATAGCGCAGGCGGAGTTACATGACTCCGAATAACATTCGATTTATCATTAATTAAAAAAAATAAGCGACTAGAATCTGACGAAAATTCTATCAAATTAATTATAATAATATCATATCAGCCTTTAACTGTCTACTGCTGAACATAAGCCTCTCTTTTGGAGGGTATTGCCAGTAATTGCCACGCTTGGTAGGCGGGTTGGCAACCGCAGCTTTGATGTTTTAAGAGGAACGCGCCTAACCATACCTCGACCACTAAATTCCCTTAGTGGCCTCTTACCACACGCACGGAAAAGGAAGGGGTGGCCCATTTTATGCTAGGAATACATAAAAATCACGTTGATGTTTCAGTAAATACTCCAGATAAACTAATATCGCTATCAGGTATAATTAAAGATTGTCTCATAAAAAAAAAATTCAATTGGGACAAAACCCATTATTTTAATAAACTATTGATAAGATTTATAATGATTTCTATGAGACCTTTCTGTAAGTATATAATTTCAGATAAAAAAATCAAAGTCGGTTTAGAACTGCCGAAATTATGAGGTACAAATATAAATAAGTGTAACCGAATTGAGAACTTTCCTGTTTGAAGTCGGTTGAAAAATTGAATAAATTGCTGCAAGCCTGAAACTTGGCATAGTTGGTTATAGAGTTAATGACTCTGTAAAAGTCTATATCTGAACGAAGGGTCAAAGGACCGGATTCAGGGATTTAAACAAACCCATTTTTGACAAATTATTTAAAAGACTAGGTATGTAATGAATTAAAAAACATTGTTTTGATATATTTTTCAACATCCTTGCTAAAATACTGACCAAGTTATGAAAGTGAAAACATTTACTTCCCATGCACCCATTTTCAGTTACATTTTGACCTACCCTTTTAAATGCCTAACTTCATAGATTCACATGTTAAGTTTCAATCGAAAGATCAAAAAATAAAAGTACCTTATACAAAACTTTATTTCAGATTATACCTATCTACATGCTGTGTGCTAAGATAGGAAACACTCAAATAACTTCTCAAAAAATCTTTTCTCTGATAACTTACTATAATACCGATTTTAATGAACTTGTAGTTCGTTCTCGTTTGAAAGCGAATATTATACGAGTATGTTAATAATAATAATAATGAAACAATTACTTTCAAAATATATTTTATTAAGCGTAAAAATGTAATTAAAAACTAATACACAATTGGTAAACTGCACATTGTAATATCATAAAGATATTTGGTCAATTTACAATTTCGTTGAGTAGTTCTAATGATTACGTAAGAAAGGCAGTATTGTTCAATGTAAATATAATTAAATATAAATAGGTGAATCATACACAAAATGTCATTATTTCATTAATAATTTTGATACAATAGATACTTAAGAACTAATTAGACTTAATTAAATGTAATTACGACAACATTAGAAAACTGTATACAAAAGTTATTAGGAAATAAATTTCAAGACACATTTACAAAAGAAATGGAGACATATAAGGATCGATCTACACTATGCCGGTCTCACTTCACTCTCGGTCTAGTAAAATATCATTACATATAGATAGAATGTACCTATTCACACTGTCGATAACGCCAATTCCGCCCGCCAATTCCGCTCCAGTCATGATCTGAAAGATTTTTTTTAATAAGATCGAACCTGGCGTTTCGTGTACCAATAGCGTGAATGCCTTTTCAACTCCGGTTCAGTCAAATCTGCAAATACTGCCGAAGATAATTACAAAGATTTTAAATATATATATATAATCAACATTTTTTTTTTTATAATAATATTTTTTTTTATTACATATTGTTAACCTATATAATATGAATCACTCTTTGAAGGAAACAAAGTTTCCATTCAATTGTTTAAGATTTTAAGATAAATTGTACGTACTAGTGTTGACTAAACCCATTGTGAAATTTGAAAAAAAAAAAAATTATGCATACATATAATTTTTTAGAATAATATCCATGTATAATGGACAAATTTATAAAATAAATAGTATAAAAATAGTAGTACTTAACAGAATTTTATTACAGGTGTGAATAATATATTCTTTTTATAAAAATCATATATATATTTTTTTATTGAACTGGTTAAAGTAAAACAGGTTTCTACGATTTGCAACCCCCTATTTTAGTAATTCGAAAAAAAATAAATGTGTAATAATACTGAATAAAAAGGTTACAGGAAAGACAAATATATATATATATATATATATATATATATATATATATATATATATATATATATATATATATATATATATATATATATATATATATATTAGCGAGCTATCTGAAATGACATTCCACCGACATCTTTTTTTTAATAGAATAATTAATCCCCGCGTTATATGGGGGAATGCCCGGTGTTATACGAGGGGTTGAAATCGCGAAATATATAAAAAATACATTTATATATTATTATATTACTATATTTGTTTAATTTCATCCTACATTCTCTGTATTTTTTTTTTCTAATTTTTAAGTGAAGTTAATAGCTTTATTTACTTTTTATTTCTATTATGAAATATTATTCCTTTACGACTCTTAGTCTCAGTCAAAATAAAAAAAATCAATACGTTTTCATTCTGTAGAAAATACATTATATTAAACGCCTCCCTGTGTGCATTTCGCTGAACCGAATCGAACATGATCGTCTACCAGCCGAGGCCGGAGCGACAGCGGCTTTGTAATGTGAATCGGGCTTCCATAGAATTTTTATCATTTATGAAAAATAATTATAATTTATCAATTGTATAACTTAATAAATTATAGTTATCTATACTGACATAATAAAGCGGAAGAGTATGTTTGAAAGCCTTAACCTCTGGAACTAGGAGTCTGATATAAAAAAATATTTTTGCACTTGATAGCTTATTTCTTTAAAATCTCAGGTCATATGGTTGTCGAGATCCAAATAGCCAACAATATCTATATAAGTGAGTTAATTTTAGTTCAACGGATTTTACATTCAAACATCAGTCTTGCCTAATTACAGTAAAGGCACTGTCATAATATAAACACTCATCTACTTACAATTGTAGAATTTACAAAAATCATTACTCTTATATAGAAGATAATTATTTTGGCATTTTTCACAGCTACATTAAAAAAAATTATTGAAGGTATTTCATCAATTTGCTATGCATTTTATAAATTACCTATACATGGCCTTTATTCTTAAATCTATTATTGTAATAAAAGAGACAAAAATTAGAAATAAAATCATAAAGTACTTGATTCCTTTTAAGATCAATCAAAGGAAAACAGACCTATCTAAAAATATCAGAATACCCAGTACTAAAAAAAATAATAAAAAACACATAGTAATAGACAAAAACAATAAAAAAAAGCACACCCGACATTACTATTAAAACATTTACAAATCCAACAGTTGCCCCTGAATTTGCTTTATACATGATTGGATGTCTTCGCTGTCTGCAACCATGCCTTGTAGCTTATCTTGAGTATCAATCAATAGATCCTTTTCTAAACTTCCCTTCTTGAGGGCCGTCATGCAAAAAGTAGTCAGCGCTCTGAAACACTGTTTTCTGCAGGCATTATGTGCCTGATGATCCCATACAGGTGTAGCTCTAACATAGTTCCAGGCTAGAAAGACATATTTAATAACAGACTCCCAGTGTTGAGACTCCACTAATACTTTTCCCTGTTCTACTAAGCACTTCTTGAATGCCGCCAAATGGGTAGACACGCGCGAATAAGCCGGCGAATCAGTTTTAGAAGTCAGACGTGATGTCGGGAGCCCTTTAAAAATATTTGATTTTAAATAATGAAGCCTCTCCTCGAGTGGCGACAAATCTGGAACAGGCATATCTTTTCTGATCTCGTCTTCGACCTCTGGGTGTTTGTAAGTGACAGTTTTAATTATATCAATCAGTTGATTAGGACTTAAACCTTTTAATGCCACATCAATAGGTCCATTATATTTCATTGTTTTCTCGAGCCTCGGTCTTTTATTTGGCGGTGGTGATTTAATGGGGCTACTTATTTTGAACTTTTGAGGTGTGCTAATATCACTGAAGTCTATTTTCTCTGGTGTCAGAGGTATCCTTTCAGAATCGCCCAGCAACAAACGTTTTCGTGGGGTAGATCGTAAAGTGACTGCTAATTTCGGCGGAGAAAGGCGGCTCGGGTTTTTGGGTGGCGTTCTAACAATTGAGTGGAATGTGGAATTTCTTTTTATTTCAATATCTGGTGACCAAGTGACAGGAAGACGTTTACGACCTGTAACTCAGAAAATATGACATATAAAGCAATTGTCACTAACAATAAGATTCAAAGAACTTTTGAAAACAAAACTAACAATAAGAAATCGATGAATTTAAATGACATTGGAAATTTTTAAGACAAATATAACAATTTCATTCTTGATAAAATTAACAAGAGATCAATAGTTCAATACTTTTTAGATTAAAAAACAATAAAATAAATATAAAGTTTATATTCTAAAAGTGTTACTATTTACTAGTTCTTCCTGACAAAAAACAATTTCATACAATTTCGTCGACAACTTCAGCATGTATTCTCAATAATAACTGGTATAGATGTAACAAGGGTATTAGATATGATTTTAGACTTGTCCATGTTCACATTGTTGAGAAGCAGTATTAAGATCATTGAGCATCTAAATGAAACTTTCCAGGGATTCCGCCATGATTACTATATCCCTATACTATACCGTTACCATCACCACTACCTTGATCAAGAATAACTGTACCACTACAGACTGGAGGCCGTTTCCTTCTAGTGTTTACCATCAGAGGAATTTTGCCAGTAGTTACCATGTTTGGCAGGTACCGCAGGAACATTTTAGTGATGTTTTATAAAGCTTTTTTTATATACCTTATTTGAAGTTAAGGAGATGAGAAAAAGTATATTTTAATATTTTTTTGTTTTAATAAAAAAATTTTCTTGTTAACTTTTTATCAAGAGCCATGACCTTATTTGCCATTCCATGTTACCTAAATAAAAAAAACAAGAAGATGAACTAATTAGTAGGCATAAATAATTAAGACATATTCTCATATTTTTAAAAATTTTAATAGATGTTAATAGAATGGACCTGAACTCGCAATATATGCTGGCTCACTGGGGCACAATGAGATTGAGATGACAAGTAAGAATAAAAGCTGGTCTTATTTTTAATGGATGAGAATGCAATGGTATCCTCACCTATTCTATCAATATACAGATTCCATTACTAATAATCCATTTTCTTCCAACATTCACAGGTTACCAGGCAACAGTAATTAGGACCATTATTTGACAATAGTTATCAAACATAATTTCTTTCATTCACCACAAATCTGCTTACCTCTCTGTTGGATAAGCATTTCATCTGGTGAGGGGGCCGGACTAAGGTAGCTGGGGGGCAATGCTGGTGAGCGGTCTCTGGTATTCGTGAGCGGCTGTAAGGGAGTGACTCGAAGGCGGTCCAGGCGTGCAGGGATCTCAGCCAAAGCCGCTCGAGTGCGGCGTCCGCCCTCTGGAGTCACTGCTCCCTCCATTACTTTTCACAACAAAATAAAAAGTCAATCTATAAAAATATCAAAAACGACTGCACCAAATTGAATGCGATTCTTAAACTTGTGTTCCTGAAGAATAAAATTTAAATATGGTGAATGTTTTAACTTGGTAGCCATCTAAAAGTGGTCTTTTTTATTAGTTTTCCTACTTCCAAAATCTGAGTACGATATCACAAACTAGTAATAAGTAAGTGTAAGGATTACCATTAGATGGACAAGTAAAGGCAAGTGGTAAACAAGCTTATAAACTTATCTATCACTAATTTAAATGCTTAAAAATAATTACATGTAAGTAACATAAAAATTACCTAAGCGGCCTACTAAAAATTCATGTACCTTTTATATAACAGTATATTAGCTAACTAATTTTCAATTTTACTATGTAGTTTTACACCTCTAGATAGAGAAAAGCAGTTACAAATAAAAGAATACAACGGACAAAAACACCATAACAAAACTACAAAATTGGCGCAAACGGGTGAAAAAATTGACATTTGACTAAGGTTGCCAGATGCGAATATTGAATTTACCAAAGAGTATATAACCAAGGAAAAGATAGATAACTATCTACCACAAAGAGGACGACGACAAGTAACCGTTCCTTTTTATTTTTAGCTTATCTTACGCTCTTCATTCATTCTTCATTTAATTTTTATTGTATTTATATATCTCTGTACAGCTACTAAAACTACTACTACTCTTCAAAAATTTACCCAAATTGCTCCAAATCACTTCACTTTTTCCAAGAATTTTATTTCTGTAAAATTTAAACAATAAATATTTACATAAAACTGCAAAAAATATCTAATGACGCTGCAAAAAATATCTAAGTATTAATCTTAATCTGTAGAATCTATGAATTATTAATATCTCTATAGACGGTTTAAAATTCATAACACATGTAGATTTTGTAATTTTGGTTTGAAATCAATAGAAATAATTATTTCAATGGGAATGAAGTATACATAGGTATATATATATACATATACATAGAAGGAATGATAAAATAAAAACTGTAAATCATATGATTGCCTCCTTTCTTCTTATGCAAATATAATTACTAAAAAGAAGACGAAAGATACACTTCGAAATGCTAGTCAAACCTTTCAACGTTTTATTGATGAAATCACACGTAGTCTTAATTTCTGTTTTGCTTTTATCGATGACATTTAATTTTTCTAAAGATCCAGAAGAACACTTCATCATCTGCGCACGCTATTTGAGTGTTTTAAAGACCATGGCATAGTTGTGAACTGTACAAAGAGCGTATTAGGAGCTGAGGAAGTTACATTCCTTGGCTACCGAATATCAGCTTTTGGTATTCGCTCACCCACTAAGTGCTTAAAAATTTTCCGCTTCCTAAATCTGCTCAGGGACTTCGTCGATTCCTCGGTATATTAAACTTTTATAGAAAGTTTATACCGAAGACTGCAAAATACCAAACTACTTTGATCAACATACTTGCCGATAATCAGCTCAAAGGTTTCAAGCCTGTACCTTGGACTCCTTAATTGGAGAAAGCATTTGATGAGTGCAAAGCCAGCTTCACTGAAATTACTTTAATTGCCCATTCTCAGCAAGTTGAGTTCTTTTTACTGATGCGTTTAATCACTTACTTTTACAAAAGTAGGTGACATTTGGCAGCCATTAGATTTCTTCAGTAAAAAGCTGAATCCTAAACGGTCCTCATGGCCAACCTATTGCCGTGCACTCTTAGCGGTATATGAGGCAGTGCAACATTTTCGTTATACAAGCGATAGAACACGCAAAGCGAGGCAAAATCTTTACTAAGACTTAAACCTTACGTTAAGACTTAAGTCGAACCTTTGAAGTTCAATACCACTTGTAAGCCTGAGATTATAGACAATTTTCATAGTTTGTCGTTGCATTGAATTGAAGAGTTCAAGCTGGTATTTAGATGCTCCCACCTAGAAGTGACACCAATACTCCATGTGGGGCCGGAGTTGCGATTTGTACAGCATTAATCGTTGATCTGGCGTGAAGTATCCCTTCGCTCTATTAAACACACCGAGTTTTTTTGGATGCCATCTTCACATTATCTTGGAATGGAATGGAACTGTACATCAATAGACATGTCGTCTAGAGATGTTAGATGCATGTTGTTTTTTGTTTTGTTTCCTTTTGTGTAGACTGACTGTTGACTGACAGTCTCGCTCCAACAACTATCATTGATATATTGTTGTAGAATTCGTTGATACTATTATTTTCATACGGAACTTGGTTTTTGTCTAGAAAAGATTTTGATTCCCTTTATTATATTAAAAATATTACATTTATCAATAATACACATTAAGAATCATATAATCAATTTTGGTGTTTATGATACGAATGTGCATTTCACGCAGGCACATCTTGGCTTTTAATCGCTTTGTGGTCTAAATAATAAAATGAAATTTTACATGAACTGTTTTTATATAATGATTTGTGTTTGAAATATTCTACATTCAATGACGAACTTCTAAAAGTAGATATATATATGTTAAGAATAAATTAAGGTAGACTGGTTTCATATATCAGGATCGTATGTTCTAGAACTTGTAGATTAAGAATGACTAGTGTCTTTCGTTAAGTCGGTGTAGTGAGAATGGAAAGGTTGTCTCATGATTTAAATCTGGCGCTCGAAGAGAGTAATTGCGGCCGGCAGGAGAGGCGGAAGTTAGGGCTTCGTAGACGGACCCGCTCCGCAGGGAACCTGCGTAAGTTTCGTCTATTCACTATGTTTATTTGTATATGTCAAATACTTTTCAATTGTCAATATTATTTTACGTTGAAAATAATTAAATTAATAATAATAAGTAAAGTATATATGCAGGTATGTATTTCTTTTAGAACCTAGTGTAATTAAATAGAACACGACAAAAATGTAAACAAAGTTTTGTTAAAATACAACCCTCTAAGCATACCCACTCACTCACCCATCACTTATCCATATATCATTTTTATTTTGAAGTTTCTAATTTTATATCTCACCGCTTTTTCATTTGTTGGATTATTGTTTTAAAATTTTTTATTGAATAATCTTAATCTCTCATAATCTCTATATATGATGAATTTACATGGTACTAAACAAAAAATATCATTTCTAATCAAAATAAAATTCTGCATTCAAATTATGAGTGCTTAGATAAGTAATAATAATTGGTTAGGTAATTATTCAATAAATTAATGTGTTGTGAGTGTTGAATTTTCTGTCAAACTTTTTATATTTGCATCCTTTATCTTATCTTTATACTTTATCTACAAGAGATCACTTTTTGAGGTAACCTCACATTCACAATATCTATAACTGACTTCTCCATGTAATTTACAAGTGATAATTTTGAAAATAGTTTTTTTTTGCAATATATCTACTACATCTTCATAATTATCTAAAATAGGGTAAAATAATATATTCAAGCAACATTTGGGGACACACTAGACTCCCAAGCTGACTTACAAAAGTTTTTCCCTAAATGCCATCCAAAAAAAAATCAGGAATCAAACCCTGATCTCATTTACATGAAGCAACAAGTTAATTTTATATCTTAATTTACAGCAGCCGCCGTCACAGTGAGCCTGGTTGAAGATGGCAGTTCCAGTAGTCCACCTCAGGCTCCATTGATAACTCAACCTCTGTCAGACTCTGATGACCCACAGTTAAACCTGCACAAGTCGACAAGTCTCAAATCCAGACACTACTGTCAGATAGGCAACTTTGAATCAGATTCATTCAATGAGAATTTCTCACCAACCCGTCCAGCCAATGCTCGAAGGAAACGAAAATATAAAAAGATGCCTGTTGAATATGCAGATGGAAAGACATCACCTCCAATTGAAATATTAAGTGTGACTACCGAGGTATATTTACTTAATTTTTAATGAAATCTCAAATATCATGAATTATATGAGCTACTAGTGGTCTGACCAAAATTTGCATGAGTAGACAGAATTTTCGCAAATAATATATAGTCAATGTAGCTGATAATTTAGCTTTTTATATTATTTAGTTTATCCACTACAAACAAACAATCAAATCTTTCCTTTTTATAATATAAGTAATATACAAAAATTTACTTATGTATGCTTTTTTCCTACTAAATTATTAAGTTGGTTTTGAGGTGGAAGAGGAGTAATACATAAAATAAAAAAGTCAAAGAAAATGTTTCTCAATACTTTGGTTATTTTATGTATTACTAATGAATTTGCCAATTTTCTATTGATTTTGATAGCACTTAACAATCAACAATATTTATTTTCATGTTTTTCTTACACAACACTTATCACAATTGTAGTCACAATTTTATCCTGGAGCAAAATCTTCAAATTATCAAATTTATTACACCAGAATCTAATTTTGCAGGTTATAGTCACACGTGTTCACTCAATAACATTAAAATTGATCTTTGAGTGTACTTAGTTCTTTAAATCTTTATATTCGATAGAATTATTGTTTTCAAAATGGTAGTTATCAAGTATTAACTAAAATTCGTACCTATGCTTATTTCATATCCATTTTTCATACACAAAACCTCTGTATTTATATAAGGTTCCTTAAAATCTTTATGGTTGTTTTCAAGTGCCCAAATAGCCAAAAATATACAATCTAAAACTATGTTGAATATTTTATATATTCTAATATGCCAAGGGAAGTAGGGAAGCTTCTTATAATATCTGCCTGTACTTTACAGCAGGTCTCATTGTAGATACAATACACAGATATATCAGGAAATATGTATTCATAAAGATGATAATTCATATTGTCATTAATACAAAAAAAAAAAAAAACAAAATAAAAAATATTACTGAAGAGAGCCATTGAGTGGCAACAAACCTGTGGGTGTTTCTATCCTAAATTAAATTAACATTATGCACGTTTGAGGTAAGTATATTAGTCTGGTGATATATTGAAAAAATTGTGTTTAATTATTTATTTAATGAAACAGATTAATGGGAAAGACATTTTAGTGCCACTTCAAGGGCTTGTGTGTGGCCTTTTATATTTCCTCAAGTAAAAAGAATATTTGATGTAGATATGTTTTCATTTGTTAGATAGAAAGACAAGACAAAACTACTCACATTGTAATTGCAATTGTTCTTTACTAAAATTAGTGCCAGATAAGATAGTAAGCCATGTCAGAGACCTACAATAAAGGAGCTTAGAAAATTTTTACATTTAAGAGTGGGACAGTCACATCTATATTAGTACTACCAGACTATTGTTATTATTTCCTCTATAAACACTTCTTTCTCAATTTAGATCATCCAAATTAGACCTAAGAGAATTTTTCCGTCATATAATATCCTAAATGAAAATCATATATACTATAAGTAATCAAGCTACGATATTCGTCAATTACTATTCCTTCAAGTTACTACACAAGATTGTCATCAAGATATATATTTAATATTTTTTTTTATTTTCAGACTAATGTTTTGCCAGCAACAATAATGTTACAAACCCATGGTTTATCATCGCTAACACATTTGAATAAGCATAAACCAGAATCAAGGTCAGAATGACATACTTAATTTTAATACTAATTACTTCCTAATGTTACTTAAACAAAGTGTAGAACTTTATTTTTATTTTTAAAATTGCAGAAATGCTTTTTGCGGCAAGAGAAAATGGTCACATAGAGACAAAGGAGATGGGTGTGAAATGAGAGAAAGATCATTTAGTGGTGGTTGTTCTTCTAAGTCAACATTTTTTACAAAGAATGATTTTAAATGTAAGAAGTATGATAATGAAAAGAAAAGAAAGGATTCTGTTCTGCAACCTGGCAAAATTGTACTCAAATCGCACAATGTAGAAGGTATGAAGCCATCCACATTCACAAACACTCTTTCCTTACCTGGTAGCTCCAGTTTTAATTTTGTTTACAAGAACTGCAAGAATGGAACACCGACACTTGCTAAAATGACAGGATATAAGATCACCACTGAATTACCACCATTCTTTAATCCTTCCACAAGTACTGGAAAGTATCAGAGAAAATTTAAAATGCTCAATAAATCTCATCCACCTAACTTTTTAAGAAATCCTTTACAATTTGATGACTCGAATAGCGGAATGGACTGTGCTGGTAATGAGTCCAGCTCATTAAGCAGCAGCGACTCTGACGGAGTTGTGACAAATGACAGTGATAGAGAAGGCGATGATGAACTCACAGATTGGCCCGGTATAGAGGAGCTGAAAGTCTTCAATAAAAGTCTTACATTCAAGTCTTCGAAGTCTGTAAATAATAACTCTCCAAACTCTATGAATAATATGCCGCCGCCGAAGCGATTAAAAAAGGAAAAGTTTCTGGTGAAAAGTGGTTGGGCTAGTTGTAAGAATAGATTCAAGAAGAAACGCCCCAAAGTTGACTCTGGAAATGATGACGACGCTATGATGTCTGACTCTAAAACTGTTGTCGAGTTTGATGACGAAATTGTTTTACCTAAAGAAAACAGAGACATTCTTCAGCCACACTCATCTTTTACTAGTTTTAGTGATTTAAAAAATGCTGGTGTTCTTGGTCAGAATGCCAACGAATCATTTTTTCAATCCTTTCAGGCTTTCCAAGAGAAATCGGGCCAGCAGGATGAGTTGTTTAGCCAGACGCCGCGTAGTAATTTCTCTTTGCAGAAAACGTCATCTAGTGACTTGAATTTGAGTGAAAAGTCTCCGCAAAGTGATCATTATTGCAGTGAACATTCCATGGGTAATGGAGTGGTGACAGAAGTGAGAGAGATAAGAGCTGGATGTCGCCGTATCCGCGAAGAGCGTCCAGGATTTTTAATACTGAGTGCAGCTAATGAGCAGTTGTCCAAGTTTCTACAAGATTCATGTCAGACAGAGCTAAAGTTACCCAGTTTAAATGACCCCGAAGAGAGGGAGAAATTGGAATCTTTAGCCAAATTGTATTCCCTAGAATTGCAAGTTGAGATGGGTCGTCCAGTTTTGAGGAAAACAAGGTCAGTGTATATTGATTTATATGTTATTTATATCTATATAACTACTGTGATTTTTGCTTATCTTGAAAAGAAGAGAGATATCTATGTAAAGTGATATCTCTACACTGTGTTTAAATTTTTAATTTCCAAGCATTTTAGTTTCCCAACATGGGCAATATTGGAGAACTTTGAATAGGCTTATAGAGCTATTGCATATTTGTGTTTTGTATGCAACACATTTTTAATTTTAATATTTTTTTTTTTATATACAACTTAGAATGGCAAAAAAGCTGAAAGCCCACCTGATGGAAAATGGTAACCGTCGCCTATAGACATGAGCAGTAACATGGACTTAACAGAGTGTACTGTTTCGCCCATGATACCCCCCATGCGTTGCCATTCCTGAGGACTCAGGTGTTATTCCTCTGTATCCAGTAAATTCACGCCGTATCCCACCCTTCAAATCGAAACACAGCCATGCAAACACAATTGCTTCACGGTTGAAACACGAATGGGACAGCATCGACGAATCTACATCATCATATTAGTCTTTAACTGTCCACTGTTGAACTCTTCCCCTATAAGGTCGTTGTGCCAATAATTGCCACACTTTGCGAGCGGGTTAGCAATCGCTGTTAGGTTTTAGAGATGTTTGAAGAGGGACGCTGCTGCCCATCCCTTGTCCACCCTGAGTCGACTCTTACAACACTCATGGGATAGGAAGGGGTTGTCTGTTCTATGCTGGAACCACACGGCTAATCGATCGATAGATCGCCATCATCATAATCAGCCTAATGGAGTCCACGGCTGCTTATAGGCCTCGCATGGCACGCTATTGATCCTTAACTCTTCATTTCGAGTTTTTACCAGCCGTTACGTGTGTCGTTCCATCTAGCCACAGGTCGTCCCACATAATACTTTTAAATACGCGGTCTCCAATTTAGAATACCACTGCTCCAACGATCGACGGTTCTATAGCAAATATGACTAGTCCACTGCCACTTCAAGAGTTTCCAAATCCGCATGAGCTATGGTGGTAATTTTGGTCCTCTGGCGAACTACTTCGTTTTGGATTCGATTTCACAGAGAACATTCAAGTATAACGCTTTTCATCGCTCACCGAGCGATTTTCACTTGGTGGACTAGTCTAGTACTACACTAGGAATTCAGCATGATGATACCAAGGGCGACCACGTGGGGGTTGATCTGACAGGGTATATTGCTAGCATTGGTACTGGTAGTCCGCATTACTAAGAATCTCCCCCTTCCCATATAATGAGAGCTAGGACACATTGATTATGATTTTGGTCTTTAGGCTTTATGGTAGAGAGGATATATTATCCTCTGATGATATTTCCTAAAAGCTGTTTAGCTTAGTTTTATTCGTTTCTTGAGTCTCTCAAAATTGTTCTGCATAGCTGGAGCGTTTACCATAAATAGACCGTTCAAATCAATAGACAAATATAGACTAGGTACAATAAATAAAAAATTACAATTACAATTACAATAAAAACAAAATACATTTTGTTTTTTTACAGTAATACAATGCAAGCGATCCGTGTTGAGCATTCATATCACAATTTCCCGTCGGACCACAAGAGGCGGTGTTACGGCGACGAAGCAGATTCGAGTCTCAGTCTCAGTGATCAGAACTCGGTGACTTCCATCAACGATCTCGACGAAACGCCAGACTTGATATCAGATGTGCGGAAGGCGGTCACAACTGATCCAGCTGCCCAAGACTTGGTCGATACATTCTCACATACGCTTGTTGATAAGTCGTTATTGCACCCAGGTGATGTAGATTAATTTTTTTTTATATTTATACTTAAATTTAAGAATAGTATTATATGAGCGTTTTTTTTTAAAATATAGGTGTTGGTTGAACGATTTTCTCCTAGTTTCATCACAATATCTCATGAGTGAACCACAACGATGACAGGAGAAATCGAAATGTTATTCTCTATTGCTGTTATTTATAAAAAAAAAACCGTCAAACATATTTAGGTTGTTTACGTTAACATGACATGTACCACCAAAATCTAAAGAATAAACAATGTGACTAAAAACATTTACATGACTCCTCTGTCCAGTCGGACTGCTACTGAAAATTTGCCCTCACAAACGCAAACAGAGCAGAATGTCTGTACATGGTCACACACATTAAAGTGAAAAAATTGGAAGGGCGTGCCATGTTTACGTAGTCAAAATAATAGTCTAAACTTATTTTAGTTATTAAGAAGTTTTTTTTTTCTTTTGATATAAATACTTAATTTAAAATAATGTTATAAAAACACCTTCGTGTAGGTTTGAAAAAGTTTTTAGTTTGGGAAATAGATTAAAAAAATTTTGTGCTAAATGTTTCAGAATGACCTTATTTTTTTAATATCTATACATACATTGTTCGACTCTGCGAACTATTACTCTGAAGGTGTAACGGCGATATTGCAATTAGTAACGCGATACAATGCGATGAATGTTGAATTATCATTGTTTGTTAATCGCGATGGTTCAATTCCAATGGCCTACGTTAAAATAACGCTCGTGTAATATGTAAAATAAGCTCGAAACAAAATTATAATTGTATATTTCGTTTGGAATCTACGGTAACTATGTTTTTAAGAAAGCGAAAGGAAATATTACATAATTAACGTTTCAGGGTATCACGCGATTGATGTATAATAATATAGAGTAAGAAAGAGAGAGAGAAAGTAGACGATTATGGAAAGAGTTCTGCGTATTTTATATATTTCTGTAATTTTTATTAATAATAGTCGTTGTTTAGTGTATTATTAAGTGTATTATTACTGTAGTTGTTTAGCGCTACAGTGCATTAGGATAAAATCGGTTTACTCTCTTATTCATAAAAATTAAAATCTATAAACCTCTTAACTTTCGTATGCTTTTATACTACAGGCGTATTTATTATTTTTAAATGTCGTAAATGCGTCATTATTTTGTTTTTCATTTAATAATTTCTATTACGCCCTGTTTTATAGATAAAACATATTTTTTGGAGACTATTCTAGAAAAAAACAAATCAAAATAAACTTGTGTTTTGTCACTCTTTCAAATTCAGAAATTAGTAAAAAAGGTAGGAAAAAACAGTGGCTATAAAAAGGTTTATTTGACTTTTTTTTATGAATAAGAGGGATAGTGTATTAATTTATACATAAGTGGAAAAGTCCATTAAATTTAATGGTTATATCATAATTTATAATATAGAATGGAGTAACTTAGTGCAGCGAAGTCTACACAAAACTGTCAAGTTCGATCTCATCTATTTATATTGTTGTTGATGAACATGTGTGCTTTTTGTTGATGCGAAATTTTCGTTTTTTTTTTGGATAATCACCAAAATGTATCCTATATTTTAGTGCTTAAGACTTAATATTATATGTGTTTAGATGCTTTTTTTTTGTTGAAATTATAAATTTCTTATACTACTTTGGTGTTACAACGCCATCTAGTGGTCAGAATTGTACCTAACATTTTTTAATTAAAACATTCAATAACGGCTGAATTACGTAACTCATTTTCTAATTCTCGTTTCAAATAGAATGAAACTAAGAGTTTTGAGATTATTAGTTGTAAACCGTATCCATTTTTAACTGAAGCTGCCGTATGGTACGTCCTAATCGCAAGTGTCAGTTTCAATAAGAATTTATAGCAACTCTATGAAATAAAACAGCACAGAAGTTTTCTGATAACATAAAGCACCATAAAGAAACAGTTTGAATAGGTTGTCTGAAAGAGATCGGTTTTATTGATAAGGCACTCGATTGTTTTTTCTGTGTGATATATTTCTTTTAAAGAATTTTTTTTTAAGTATTGGTCTAATCTTTTAGGAGGGTAAATTATTGATAACATCAGGGCTATAGTATTTAATGATGAGTCTCAAATGCATTTTTGGATCATTACAAAGTAACATGTGGGGATGCAACTACAAATGAGATAGGCAGCCATTTTTTTTAATTGGTAACACTTGTTATAATTACCTACACAGTAGGCACTGTACAGACGTCAAAATGGACTCATTTAACGGTTAAAGATACCTTATTCACAATTGTTATAGTCATAAAAATTTACATTCCATTTATAATTGAGAATGCTAAAACACAGAGGCAGTCTATATTTCGTCCTTCCAAAATTCATATAAGAGTATACAAAACTTACATTTAAAAATTGTATTTATATTTAAAAATAAATCCTGAGCCATGATATGGGATTCGTAACAAATTTTTACCATAAATATAAAATTGTGTATAGATATTATATTTTATTTACAAATTTTGTGGAATATTTCGGGACGTTTGATTGCAAATGTAACTGGCTGATTAGAAATGAGTTTTTATTTTCATTTTTTTTTGTCGATGATTGAACCTGTAATTATTTTTCATATACAATCGTTTAATGTACGAGGTCTGTCCGGAAAGTTCGTATAAAAGTGTTCTGGAATGCGAGAAAGAGGAGTGGGGAGGCCAGGTAAGCGCAGGACCCCTTCCTTATGTCCCTAACAATGCTTCAGTTCTGGTCTGACCGCCGTGCGGTGCGAACTGGCTTGTCACGCCATCTGTGAAGTTACCTCTTAACGAAACCCCGTCGGCATGGAGCCCGCTTCCGTTGAAGAGCAGCGCGTCGTAATCAAGTTTCTCTCGAAACTCGGCAAGAATGGCCGTGAAATTTTTGCCGATCTCAGAACAGTTTATGGGGATGATGCTGTGAAGGAACCAACCGTCCACAAGTGGCTAAAAAGGTCAGAGAGGGCCGAAGACAAAGTTGATTGTTTTTTTCGATGATGTTGTCCATCAAGAATTCGTCCCTCCAGGCCAGACAGTTGATGGAAAATTCTACGTCGATGTGCTCAGACGCCTCAAAGCTCGTGTGGCACGAGTTCGTCCAGAATTGGCGCGAGAGGGGCGTTGGATTCTTCACCACGACAATGCCCCTGCCCACACCTCTCTTGTTGTCCGTGAGTTTTTGAGTAAAAATTCCATTACGGTGACCGAACACCCCCCCCCTATTCGCCGGATTTGGCCCCGTGTGACTTCTTCTTGTTCCCAAAAACCAAATTGGTACTTCGGGGGCGGCATTTGGGGGACATAAATGAGATAAAAAAAGCTACGACGGGGCAGCTGAGAAACCTACAACCAGAGGACTTTCAAGGAGCCTTCTCACAGTGGAAACGGCGTTGGCACAAGTGCATTATGTCACAGGGGGAGTACTTTGAAGGGGATAAAATTGATTTACCTGAATAATTGTAAAATAAAATTTTTAAAAAACTTTTATACGTACTTTCCGGACAAACCTCGTATGTATGCATGATCACACGTCAGATACTTCATAAAAACTTTTTGCATGGCTGTTACTACTACATATACAGATGACGTCTATACATATAATGATGTGTGTTTATAGATAAAGCCAGCGCGGTATATTCTTTTTTAGGACGAATATATTAGTTTCTCGCCAGTTCTTCTTGACTAAATCTGTAGACTGAACTGATCGAAAAATAAACCTATGTTGATTTTTGGAATGAAGTCAGCTAGGAAGTGATATACTATGTAGTACTGTTAAGCTGGGATTTAAGTCGAGTAAAATAATTGTGAAGTTTTTTTAATAATGTACTTAAAAGGAGCAAGAGAAAGTTGAAAGAGTATTTATTTAAATATCTTTGCGAGTGAATTCTGTAGTGAGTATGACAAGAATGTTCATTATATGGAATTAAAATATTAAAACAATGTTTAAACTAGCTAGTTTGATCTTTATTTTTTTAATATGGATTATGTGAATGTATATTAACAAAAAATAAAGGCTGCGTAATAGAGACCCCAGAATGCTAGAAGTATATTTGTAACTATGCCACTACATTCAAGCCATACCAGCACTGATGAGCAATGCAATGAATTAAAGTTTTTAACTATAAAGTGCGATATGAGAAATTTAGAATAACCCCAGAAATGACTATGATGATGTGCCATGTATTGACAATGATAAAGTCTTTGGTACAGTATAGTATCAATACCTTACATGAATGATATTTAGATCACGATTGTTAGTATATTTATGTATTTCATATCAGCCGTTAACTGTCCACATAAGCCTCCCCCATAATGGGGGACTTGCCAATAGTTGCCACGTTTGGCAGGCGGGTTGGTAACAACAGTTAGGCTTTGGAGATGTTTTAAGACAGACGTTGCTGTTCATTTCTCGACCATTAAGTTCCCTTAGTGGCCTATTACGACACGCACGGGAAAGAAAGTGAAAGAAACGGGTGATCCATTCTGTGCCGGGACCTCACGGCATCATTTAGGTACTTGCAAGGTTTTACTTTTAGATATCTTGCTATCGCGTTACAATAGTTATTCTAGTGTAAGACGGCTTACTGTAAGTCTAACGTCTCCTATTATCTGTTAAAATTCCATTTGAAATTATTTTACACAATCATTTCTGAGTAGTAACTTGAAAAGTACCTACTCTGATATATCTTGTGATGGTTGTAAGGTTTTTTTTTTCAAAAAGTCATCCATAATTGTAGTTCCTATTAAAATCTAGACAAGTTTTTTTTTAATGGGTGAAAATAGAATGGTGGTGTTGGCGATATCGCTGTACACTGGCAGGGTACCATTAAGAGATAAGTAAGGATTAAAGCAGGTTAGTTAGCCCATCGTGATGAATTCAAGAATTAACCACAATGGCTTTTAGGGGAACCGCGTGGAAATCAACCTTATGGGATATATTGCTAATAATGGGGTTTTTAATGGGTGATAATGGAATGGTAACCCCATCCGCGCTATCGGTATAAACCGGCGGGACACCAGTGATGGATGATAGGTGAGGATGAAGCAGGTCAGTTAGCCCATCGTGACGAACTCAACAAGAATTGTTCACGATGGTTTCCAGGGGGAACCACGTGGAGGTCCCTAATAATGGGGTAGTAGACTAACAATCCTTGCCCCACCCCGCAATGTAAGTGTTTGAATATAGGATATAGTGTGATAGGTTAGTATTTCGTGGCGAAATGATATGGCATAATTGAACATTCTAAATTTCGTTAATTCAAAAAGAAATTGACATGGTATTGAAAAGATACTTGCTTACCACAGTAGAAAATTTATAGAAACGTTGCCATTGGTTTTTTCATATTCTATGCGATTCTTTAATTTTGACCTTTATTTTTCAATTTATGATATTTCTCATTTGCGTTCTAAAGATGCGATAAGTACATATGTTTACACTAATGTTTATAAATGTGATTATATAAAATTGTATAAGGATCTATATTGTATTAATAAATTCAAAGCTATAATTTTGAAATCAATCATGAAGTTTTTTTACTGTCTCCATTCCTGAGTTTGATACCTGTTCCAACCAAAAGTAAATTGTAGTTTTACTAAAACACATTTCATATAGTATAAATATTTTATTAAAAAATACAAACATACGAAAAAAAATAACAATAAGAAAAATAACAAGAAAGCACCATTACTCTAAGTTCGGTTGTAAAAACTAAAAATAACAACATAATGAATTCTTAAAAGTAAATTTATATTACATCATTGTTTTAATGTCTTTTCGATGAAGCTAATACAGCGCTTGTCCACGAATCCAAGAATTTCTAGTTTGAATTCGTCGCTTATTGACGAAGTAGGAATACATCGTATCCACAAGTATTGCACAAATTTCCTGAATTTGTGAATCTGTGGTGAATTCGGCACCTCCGCTAAATCGCCGTAAATATGATTCTACTAAATATCGCAAGGTGGATTTAAACAGTTCTAAAATAGAACAAGTAAGCTCAAATGAATAATACAAGAGCTGTTCTTAGCATGTTTAAACAAAAATTTGAGAAAAGAGGAAAAACAAGAATTATTATTGAAAGATGCAGATGATGCTATTTTCAAGTTTATTGGTATGTGTCAAGTTTCACTTGAAAGTGGCCTTTTCAAAAATAGTTCTTCTGTGAAGAAACGTCGCGATTTGTTATTAGTTTACTTTTTAGTTATCACCGTTGTATAATGATATTTAAATCTAATATATCTTATTCTCACAACCCATTAATAACGTCTCACTTCAGGCACCATTTTCCCCCCTAAGATACAGTCTACTATCACTACCTTGGCCAGGCGGTTTGGCACATTTATTTCACATTTTCTTTATCAACTGTCGTGTTAAAATTGTATGTTGGTAGTGGTCATAATGACGACAATTTTACTTTTAAAGTACAGTTTTCATTTTACAAATGAACTTAATGAATATTTACACTACACAAACAATATTTTTGCCTTAAGCTAATGACTGACCTAGGATTTACTCGCAACGTAACATTCAATACGAACTTTGCAATGTTACACTATTTTTTTGATTTATAAACTCTCATAAACAAATAATAAAGGGAATCTATCGATAGATATGTTTTCGTTACAGCATGCATGAGATGAGATAACAGTGCCCCGCGACTTTCTCATGCGTTCCGATTAATAATAATGATAAATTTTGCAATCGCGACGGTTCTATTTTTGAAAAGGCTTCATAATTGAAATTTTTTTTCTAATAAATTTGTATATACTACCTAAATTTTCACATTTTATACCGTGATGCAGTTAAGTCACTTGTGTACACTATTGTATAGTGATGTATATCACAGGTTGTTTTTTTCTTTATAAAATTATAATTGCATATACATATATAAATATATATTAAGTTAAGCGATCACACTTCACTCGCCTTCGACGTTTCACAAAGTAATCACAGGAAAAAATGTCTAAACATCAATAAATATTTTATTTATATAGGATTAATTGTATTGGATATAAATCAAAACTCAGTTGAACGGGGAAGATTAACTGCATAATTTTATTGTTACTTATGCATATATATCATCATTCGTAATTTCAAATTGTTTGATTCATGAATACTGAGTTTTGTTTTTATATGCCTGTTACAAATAATCTTATACATATTTTATTCTTTTTCCTATACAAATATATCTAATGTCTAAACCTGGGAAATAGAATGATAATAAATAATTGTCTTCGATGTAACTACACACAATTTTTAAAATAAATATTTTTGCTTTGGTTTGTTTATGCATTATAATCTAATATTTAGATTAATAACATAACTGTAATTGTGACATTGTCTTTCTCCATTATAATACGCCAAATCAGTCGTTACACACACGCCGGGGAATACTAAATAAAATGTATTATTTACTCTAATGTACAGATCAAGTCTTCCCCTTCTAGTTTCTGTCCGTTCGTAATGTTTACAGACTTGATGGTGCCAGCTTTGGGAGCTTGGACAATCATTTCCATCTTCATGGCGGAGAGGACGGCGATGGGTTGGCCTTTGTCCACTTTATCGCCCTCTTTCACTTTGATTGCTGTAAAGAAAGTTTTTATTTGTGACTTATAGGTTGTTAGGTAACAGTATTAATAAAACAAGAAAGCACTTCCATTTGTTGTTTTGAACTTTTATTTATAAAAATATCAAATCTTTCATAAATCTTTACCAGAGGGAAACTTTGTAGCAAAGTCGTTTGCTTGGACACCTCTGTTCCATTCGTGTTTGCATGGCTTCGATTTGAAGGGTGAGATATGGCAGTGAATTTACAGGGTATACAGTAATAACACCTGAGTCCTCGGGAATAGCAACGCATGGAGGGTATCATGGGTGAAACAATGGTATTGCTCATGTCTATAGGTATCGGTTTCCGTCAGCTTGTTTGCTATTCTCAGTTGCTTAAAAAACCTATTTTAGCTATTGAACACTTTTGTCTCTTTCTTTCGAACTAAATTTCCAATTTAAAAAAAGTGATAAAACAGTGTAATTAGTTAAAGTGGATTTGTATGTTTTCATTTTATGAATTAGGGGGTTATTGTTTTATTCTTTACTACTTTTGCCTGCGACTTCGTCCACGTGACCGAGAACATGTTGACTGATCTGTATAAAAAGTAGTTCTTCTCCATCCCAAACAGTACAAATACAATTTCATGAGGGGAAAGGGATTGTTAGTAATGGAGACTGAGAATCCCATTGCTAGCAATATACCCAACCAGGTCGACCTCCTCGCGGTTCCCCCTGGAAACTATCATGGTTAATTCCTGATGAATTCATCATGATGGTCTAACTGGCCTGTTTTCATTCTCATCTATCACCCTTCATTGGTGCTCTGTCAGCGTATCCCGTTACCGCAGGCGGGGTTACCATACCATTTTCACCCATCAAAAAAAAAATACAATTTCATGATAATTGGTCGAGTCCTTGAGGCGTCAAGGAATAATGAACTGACAAACTAATTTTCACTATTAGTAGTCTACAAATGTATACAACAGACATGGTGATAATTTTAAATACTTTTCTGTATTGCACTTTTGCTTAAAATAATGTTAAATAGTAAAATTGGAATTTAGTATGAAAACGGTCGTAGACGTCAGGACTGTCAGTAGCATGTGTTTTGAAATAATTTAGTAATAAAATATAAGCAACGTACTTAGTACTGTTCCAGGCATAGGAGCTCCCACTTGGTTCTTGTCGCCTTTCACTGCTTTCGGATGAATCTTCATTTCCTATAAATACAACAAAGATAAATGTCAATCAATATATCCAAAATGGTAGACAAAGATTATTCTTATAATTCTTATTATAACGGACAAACAGCAAATATTCATTGTATATATTATAAAAATCTTTAAGATGAGTAAAAAGGCGACACTAATGTGGAACTGGGTATTCCTAGGCGAGATGACGACAAAAGTAAATTATTCGTTATTTGAATTTAGTAATTACAGGAATATGAAATACCGCATACTTTGACTTTCTATATGTTTGTTCCGACATCACATAAAATTACTGCACTAAATTGGATAAGACATGTTAAACCCAAATAATGTTAGGGCCAAAGTCTGTACATCTTGGCTCCCTGTAAATCTTAAGAGGTCAAGGAAGACCTTGTATGTGATGAAGAGACAATCTCGAGCGATTCATCAGAAATTAGTGCTTTAACAGTTGGGGAAGATTTTTGCCCAACAATGGGACACTACAAGCTAGGATTAAGCGACTGACTAGTAAGTATATTATAGAATAGAACCGATCAAGTTATATTCAGCCATTTTAGATTCTTATTCTGGACGCACTGCATGTAAAGAATAGACTTTAATTTATATATTTTACTTACTTTTTTTCTTAATTGTTATCAATCTAATAAAATAATAATAATAACTATCTAGATTACAGTACCTTGCTCGCGTTCTCATCCCTGATGAAGACAGATCGCAACTGTCCGTTGAGTTCGAAGAACACCTCCCTCTCTCCGGCCGCAGTCATTTCGTCCGATACGGCGAGTGTCTTAATATCTAGGGTCTTGCCTCGCTCGATTTTAACTTCTATTGTTTCACCAACCTAAAAATTTAAATATATTAAAGTTCTCTTCTAAGAATAATCATGACTATATTAAGGGAAGACTGTAGAATATGCTTATGAAAGAGATAGGTGAATTAGCATTTATAGAAAATATTTTAAGAGTAACTCCCTCAGGGAATAGGTAAGAGTATAATAATAACCGCATTAATTCTATGGGCCCTTTTATACTTGTCCACAATAAAAACTGATTTAAATCGTTACAAATCCAGTTATTTTAATCTAAAAACTAAACTACTGAACTGAAATTGATAAAATCTCTATAGGACCAATCTATAAGCGTATTTATTTATTTATTTTTATTTATTTATGCTTCATTGACCACATTACAAAAAAAAAAATGTCTGGTACAAAAGGCGGACTTAATACTATATAGCATTCTCTCCCAGTCAACCTTTGGCAAAAACAGAAATTTTAATATGCGGAATGTGAAGTGGAAGGACGTCCTGAACGTGGGTCATCTTGAACGTGAAAAAAATCATTATTTCGAGAGAAACTTGATTACGACACATACACATAGAGATTATATAAATATACATACATGAATATATTAAACAAATATTACATAAATAAAAAAAATACAAATATAGTATATAAAAATACATATATACAAATATAAATATACATATATAAATATATAAATATACATACTTATAGATTATATACGATAACACAAATAAACAACGATAGAGATCAAAGTGATGATGATGAAGGTGAACTGCTTTCACAGTTTTTTCCAAAGATATTCGTAGACTTTTCTCTTAAAAATAAATTTGTTAGAAATTTGTCTTATGTCCATTTAATCAGGTAAAAAAATAATTTTCCAAATCGGTGTAGAACTAACAGAGTTATGATGTAAAAAAAATGCAACCAAATTGAGAATCTCCTTTTTGAAGTTGGTTGATCAAACAGAAATTAGTTTATACTAATATTATAAAGAGGAAAGATTTGATTGTTTATTTGTATCGGATAAACTGATAAACTAGGAAACCATTATTTGTATATTATTTTCGAAAATTCTACTCGTGCGAAGCCAGACTGGTACGTTAGTGATAAATAAAAAAGTTACCGTGGGCCCAACGAGGAAGGTCTTGGTGTCCAGCAAGTTGACGGGCCCGTACTTGTCTCTGATACGGAGGTAGTCGTTCGCGACCTGCGGGTACATCGCTGCCGACATCACGTCTAAGTCTGTAATCTGCAATGAGATATCAAATATGAAACGTTTATTCGTGCAAGTGTGATGCCCTCTTACGTCAAAAGTTTGTAGCCGCATTCGTTGTATAAAAAATATATGTCATAAATTAATTATTATATTACAGTAGCCCGTTTAGTTTATTTTATATATTCAAAAATTTATCAAAAAGGAAGAGAAGGACTCGACTCACACTACTACTCCAACAGTACCGTAAGATCAGTTAAGAGGTATTGAAGCTAGTAACCATCGAATAGTCGCTCCCAGTAGTGATTCCGCGGTAAAGGGGTTCGCCCCGACGCTACTGTTTGAGCCCTCCTAAGGGGCTGAGGGGACTATACGTTTTTCTTTACATGTTATATACAATATGAAATATACAACGTACGTAGTATGTATACAATTATTTTCAAATAATCCAAACATGATATTTATTTAGAGGTTTAGACTTGGTTAAGATCATATATTTTATGACCTTAAAAAACTCAGTTGTTTTATTTAAGTATTTAATATTTGCCATTCTAAGTAGTATAAAAAAAAATTAAATTTCTAGAAAATCATTATGACAACTCTCAATTTTACTGTTTTTTTTTCACAATAATTACAAAAACGTAAGTCCCTAAGAAGGACGTAAGTAACGACGTATGTCCCTAACCCTTCAATATGCACTGTAGAAAATTTAAAAGAAATTCCAATGCCCACTTTAAAACTGAGTTTTCATATAACGACCTGTTCACAATAAGGTAATTATTCAGTTTGACATACGCAATTTGAAATTACAATAGTTTTACATAGTTTTTTTTTACATCATTTACTTACATTTGGATATGTTTCCGCAATTTCGTTTTTCAATTTGTCGAAGTCTAATGGAGGTAGCTCCTGGCCTGGCCGACCCTCTATTCTAGGCATATCTTTTAATACCTTTGACCTGAGTGGGTAAAAAAATAATATACATTATCAATCAATACTTTGTATGCAATTTTACTATCATAGATAGATAGATAGATACTCTTTATTGTTTCCTCCAAAAGATTACAATAGTAAACTTATTATATATATAAATAATTATAAGAAAGAATCACAACTAGGAAACAATGGGCGACCTTATATAGCGCAATAACAGTTTTATCTACAACGAACGCACAACTATGAGGGATGAAGGAGCATACCTGAGTTTTTACGCATGTTGGGTATCATGCGCGACACAGTATACTCTGTTATATACCTCTGTTAGGTACATGGTACTGAACACGTCTATAGGGGACGGTTACCACATTCCATCAGGTGGGCGACAGCCCACTTAACTTAGAATGGCAAACAAGCTGACAAGCTTGTTTGCCATTCTAAGTTGTATAAAAAAGGAGCAGGATTTTAAATTGCTTTTTTTTTATGGAATCTTTTGTACTACATTTATCAAAAATTCTATATTTATCAAAAATTTTATATTTATCAAAAATTCTTAAACAAATCCTGTAATGTTGGCGCAATAGTGTTAAAAAATAAATAAAAAAAAAATTAAACGAAGCCTTGTTTATTAATTAATCCATGCTGATGACGTGGGGTATGGATTGGCTGGAAAAATATCTAATGATATGTAACTAAGCGCTGAGACCTTTTTAAATAAAAATCCTTACCTAAGAGGTTCAGGGAATCCACCGGGCGGTATACCAATGGCGCCTTGAAGGTACTCCACGACCGACTTGGGGAAGGAGAGCTCTTCCGCTCTTGCCTCAATGTCGGCGGCGGTCAGCTTGTTTTGTACCATGAACTGAGCCAAGTCTCCGACCACTTTCGACGAGGGCGTCACTTTGATGATGTCGCCGAGGATCAAGTTGGCTTCCCTGTTCAAAAATTTATTTCATCAATTGACGTTACCATATTGTTTTAATTATGAATATTTCTATATAATGCCGTATGGTTTCGGCATAGAAAAGGCCACCCCTTCCTTTCCCGTGAGTGTAGTAAGAAGCGACTAAGGGAACTTAATGGTCAAGGGATGGGTAGCAGAGAGCCCCCTTTCTTCTCCCAGAGGGAGACTTTGTACAAAAGTCGATTGCTTGGGTACCTCTGTCCAATTCGTGTTTCAACCGTGCAGCAGTTGTATTTGCATAGCTGTGTTTCGGTTTGAAGGGTGGGATATGGCGTGAATTTACTGGGTACAGAGGAATAACATCTGAGTCCTCAGGAATGGCAACGCATGGGGGGTATCATGGGCGAAACAGTATACTCTGTTATGACCATGGTACTGCTCATGTCTATAGGCGACGGTTACCACTTTCCATCAGGTGGGCCGTCAGCTTGTTTGCCATTCTGTGTTATATAAAAAAAAATTACCAACACTAACTGCAGTTGCCAACTCGCCTGCCAAGCGTGGCAATTACTAGTAAAACCTATGTTCGTTAGTGGCCATAATAAAATAATATAATCAGTGATAATGATAATACTTTCAAGTACAAATTCTTAAAAATAAACTCACCTATAGGCTTTCTTCACTTGCTCAAACTGACTTCCCAATCCCAATGAGAATGCTTGGAACTGCAAATTAGTGTACTGTCCGCCGGGAATTTCGTTGATGTATACATCAGCGTTACCGGACTTCATGGTGGCCGTACACTCGAATGGTCCGTACAGTGTACGCGCTTGCTCCCAGTACGCCGAGTACTCTGATACTGTTTGGAGAGGAATTCCTGGGAAAGTAAATGAAAAGATTATCATCTAAACAATTTATTATCTGAGTACGAGGCATAATGTGATAAATTATGTTTAAATAAATAGCATTGGTTTGAATATCACAATTTGAATAGAAGACTAAAAATTTTTTCTTTAATAGTTCAAAATTTGATAATGGAGTAGTTATTACATATACATAATTTGTAGACAGGAAAAGAGTAAGACAGAAAAGTACTGAGTACATTAATTTTAATGAAAATGCAATTATACTAATAAAATATTGATTTAATAATTATCTTAAAATGGTTTGTAAGAATGTAGGGAGTACTAGCGCGTCGAGGCTGGGCTAGCTGGTGAGCCCTGACAGGCACTCTCTGTCGGCAACTGTGTGACAGCAGGGAGGCGGGAGGCAGGGAGCGAGTACGGACCGGTGTCGAGGCGACGAGCGCGCCGAGGCTGGGCTGGCTGGTGAGCCCCGGCAGGGAGTGGACAGCAGGGAGGCGGGAGGCGGGAGGTAGGGAGGCAGGGAGCGAGTACGGACCGGTGTCGAGCGGCGTGGCCTGCAGCGAGGCGACGAGCGCGCCGAGGCTGGGCTGGCTGGTGAGCCTCGGCAGGGAGTGGACAGCAGGGAGGCGGGAGGCGGGAGGCGGGAGGCAGGGAGCGAGTACGGACCGGTGTCGAGCGGCGTGGCCTGCAGCGAGGCGACGAGCGCGCCGAGGCTGGGCTGGCTGGTGAGCCCCGACATGGAGTCGACGGCGGCGTCCACCACGTCGGCGCCCGCCTCCGCGCACGCCAGCATGGCCGCCACGCCCGCGCCAGACGTGTCGTGCGTGTGCACGTGGATCGGCGTCGACGGGTGCTTGTCGCGGATCGCCGAGATCAGCAGCCTGTCACATCAATGTAGGCGTATAGCTTCATATACCGGATCCACAACAGTGGCTTTTAAATTCGCGTGTAGACATCAGCAACAGCTGCTTACTGGCGACTTTTGATTGACATTTAGATGAATTAAGCTATATGATATTATGGTTGTAAAAACATAAATTATGTCATACAGCTAAAAAGGGCGCACGTTAATCGAGCGTTCAGACCTAATAATTGCAGTTTATTAACAATTATAAGACTTAGAAAATTATTTTGATCGATTAAAAGTATAAAATTATACAAGATATTGATAGATATAAATATTTGCATTCGAACTTACTTGGCCGCTTGTGGTTTCAATAATCCAGCCATATCTTTGATGCAAAGAACGTGAGTGCCTCCTTTAATAAGTTCGTCAGCGAGTCCTAAATAGTATTTGAGATCGTATTTCGTCTTCTTAGGATCTGATACATCTCCGGTGTACGATATCGCCGCTTCAACGACGCCTCCGGCTTTTCCTGCCGCATCCATACCGAGCATCAAGTTAGGGAGGTAGTTCAGTGAATCGAATACACGGAAAATATCCATGCCTTCTTTAACCTGAAACAAAAAAATAAATATCAATCAAAGATATAAATTATCTCAAATTGGGCTAAGTAACTGTATAGTATTTAAAAAGAATCAAGGGAATTCCGTCCGTCCATTGGTTCATATTAATGCATAAAAAATATTATAAATTTAGTTTACGATAGTCCATAAAACAGTAATTTGGCACAACTATCAAAATAAAATCAAAAGGGTTGAGAAATGAGGAAAGGATGATTATTCCATTCAAATTCAAATATTCTTTGGAGTACAGAATAGGTATTGGGGAAAGGCTTAGACTATAATGATCCCTCAGGATGATGAAGGCCCTCAGTTCATTGAAATTTTTAATGTTAAAATTACATGATACATGCCGTTTAAAAATATGAGAAATGTTATATTTTAACATTTCTCATATTTTTAAACGGCATGTATCATGGACTTTTATAGTCGAACGAAATGTTAAGCTCTATTTATAATGTTAATGTCGATTTCAGTATGAACAAACACAAAATTGAATGCGAAAATTAGAAATTTCATTTCATGGTTGACATCCAGATAGATGAATATATTGGCGCGAATTCTCATGACGAGTTCTGAAATTGAATAAAGAATGAGATATGTATAAGAATAGCTTTAGTTTTTTTGCCTATCTAATGTTTTGATAGATAGAACATAATGCCTATATATACACTTACAGCCATTTCGCAAAACTTGTATACGACATTGTCAGGGTAGTTGGTGTACCCCACAGCGTTGGCACCACGCAACAACATCTGGAACGGAATGTTGGGGATCAGCCGTCGCATCTCGCGGAGACGTTCCCACGGACACTCGTGGAGGAATCTGTTGACATTATTTTATAAGAACCCGTGAATATAAAGATGTGGCATCGACATGAGTGTTAAAATTATTACGCGATAAAAAACATGCTCTTTCGCCATATCTACCAGAAAGAGACCATACAAAAGTCGTTTGTTTGGGCACCCCTGTCTCATTAATGTTTTTACAGTGAAGCAGTTGTGTTTGCATGGCTGTGTTTCGGTTTAAAGAGTGGGATATGACAGTAAATTTACAGGGTATAGAGGAATAACGTCATATAGGGAGATAAAGGATATGGCCTGGGATAGAGCTGGCTGGAGGAAGATACATGAATTAGTTGCACCGACAAGAGGAAACTCTTAAATGAAAATGAGAGAGGAATAACAACCGAGCCCTCAGTAATGGCAAAGCATGAGGGTATCTCGGGCGAAACAGTATACTCTGTTATGCCCATGGTACTGCTCATGTCTAGAGGCGACGGTTACCACCTTACATCAGGTGGGCTATCAGCTTGTTTGCTATTCCAAGTTGCATAAAAAGGCAACTTAATAATCGAGGGATGGGCTGTGTTCTTTTTAAAACATTGCCACAAATCTAATTGTGATTGGCAACCCGTTTGTCAAGCATCACAAATACTGGCAAAACTTCCTTTATTTTTAGGAAAAAGCCTACAGCAGTACCGCAGTGAACAGTTAATTACTGTTATGATGATAATAATAATATATACAAAATATTTTTATACTAACATACCTAAGAGCAACATCGAATGTGGCGCCGCCCCAGTTCTCGAGCGAGTACAAATTGCTAAAGTTCTGGGCTACGTAGGGTGAGACTGCAAGCAGGTCATGTGTTCGCACTCTGGTCGCCAATAGGGACTGATGGGCATCTCTGAAGGTCGTGTCCATGAGGAGCAGGCCTTTATTCTGTCTCACTGCTTTAGCGAAGGCTTCTGGGCCGCCTTCTTGAAGGATCTGCTTATATCCTCTCGGTGGCTTGACAGCTGATAAAAAATATATAAACGTATATAAATATGTCTTAATAAATATATTCTATACGCGACAGTTACCACCTTCCATCAGGTTGCTTTGTTTGTGATTTCGAGTTGCATATATCTTATTAATATATTAAAATTGTAACTAGGATTTTTTTATATTTGAGAAAAAATAATACGAGGGGTCTTAATAAGACGAATAGATGCCAAATTAATTTTTTAGAAATTTTGTCTATACGTCTGTCTGTATGTGTGTTCCGGTATTGCGCAAATTACTACACCAAATCGGATGCGGATTTCACAGTTGTACTCCCGAAAGTCTAACTTAAAATCTGGTGTATGTTTCATTTTAATATGCCATTTATAGTCTCTTCTATAGTTTTTTTTTTATTTTTATTTTTGAAATCCACGCGTATAAAAAGGGGGAAAAAGTTAGTTATGGATAAATTTTAATTATGACTTATGTGGTAACAAGTACTATTTAATTATTTAAATACAAATATTGAAATGTTTTAAAGTATTGTAGTTTTCAAAATATTTCAACAGCCATTAAATTGATTGTATTGTTTTTTTTCTCTTGTGCGAATGATACATCGCTTAATAAAGATTTTACGTCTTTTTTTTTAAAAGGTTTTTTTTTTCAACTGAGACCAAAGGTCCCGTAGTCATTTGTTAAATTTTGGGTCGATTTCTTTTGTCAGAACAATTATATGAGTAAAAATGTTATTTGTAGCGTTTTACGCTTGGACATTTGTTATAAAACCAAATAATTGTCACATATAAAATATACACAATTTACTTGTTAAATATAAATAACTAAATACTGAAAAATAAAACCACAATATAATATCAGGAAGCAAGCATATCAGGAACATGCAATGAAAAAAAAAAAACTACATATTACCTGTATTTTCGCCAGTTAATTCCTGCCTTTTTAATGCCGCAGGGGAAAGGTCTGAAAAATATGTTTAGTAAAATAATGGCGGTGTATGATAGTGTGCATACAAATTAAATGGATATGAACCCAACGCTACACCAAATAAAAAAAAAAATGCATGTTTGCCTTGCTGTGTCCAACAAGTTTGGTTTAGTGATATACACCAAATACAACATTAGTGGTAGCGTTATATGAATGTACGAATTGTAATTAAATCAAATAGATGTACTACATGTGAAGGCCACAAGATTTAAATAAACAATATTTGAAGCATGAGATTTTAGCGCAACAAAAAGTATTTTTCAGCTTTAACAATGTGGTCAGTGTAGCAATCTACTTCAAATTATTTAATAAATAATTGAACATCGAAGCTGAAGCAGTATAATATCACATACAATAAATTTAAATAAACTGGAATACACAGTTCTAATTGTGTTTTGAACATACCATAGCCATGGCGGGCTGTAAAAGAAATACAGAGGGCTTTGAGTACTTTGTTAGAATATAAAATTTTATCCTTCATAGTATCAATAGCGCTTTTCAACTAGTTTTATATATTATGCCAAGGTTAAAAGGGTACATGTCCAGAACACAATGTGGTAATAGAATTTCTTTACAACATTTAATTAAACTACAACTTATTAACCCTAATATACAGTAATAGTACTCTAAGATATGTTTATAGTACCCTAAGATATATTTGTAGTACCCTATATATATATATATATATATATATATATATATATATATATATATATATATATATATATATATATATATATATATATTTATTTGTCAGTACCTTAATATATTTTATTAATATAACCCTAAAATATCTTAATGATACCCTAATTACTTGTTATAAGTTCTGTAATATTATTGATAAGTATTAAATAAATAGTAAATGTTTAAATAACACTACCAAAAAAATAATTAATGCTCCTTTCCACTCAAGGTTTGCTGGAAGGGAGCTCTTACAGAGTTGAACTTGTTTGTTGTACATTTAATATAGATTATAACAATGTAATTTCTGTGTACAATAAAGTATAAATACGTATAAGTATAAAAAATATTTAGTATATAGTTTTTTCATTATATGTTATGCAATATATATCTTATATAAACGGTTATTTATTGATATTTTACAATTAATATTATTTATAAAAATATGTATTATAGCAACAATTTATTCTACCATATTAAAACAACTTTGTAAACATATACCACACTAGGCTAAGATGTTATTTCATTTCAGTAAATTGTCATTCGTTATTTGCATAAACTATATATAAAATACACAAATATATAGGATATTTGTTTTTCAGTTTTTACTAGTCTAAATTTGAGTCTACGTAAATATTTTAATACTGTCAGTACTCGATTAAATTATGCAAAAATAAAATGAATTATTAACGACTTTGACCTCATTTGACGAAACAACATTTAATTGAATTAACTCTATATGAAATATTTTAAAATATCTATCACAAACTAAATATACTAATAATAAAATATAATCTAAAAATAATCCATGTATGAGTTTAATAGTACTGCACATGCATTTAAACGTTTTTAATACAGTCTGACCACTAGTGCTATGCAGTGAGACGCCGGGGCGGAGTATGTATAAAATAGGTAGACAATTATAGATAAATATAAATAAGTTACGAAAAAAAGGCTATAAAAATATGCACAAATTTATATATGTTTAGTTTATTATAACTTTTGAGTCTTTTTTTTGTTTCTATACATAAATATAAACATTAAAATAATAAGACTTATTCTGAATATATTATAATAGTACCTTTTTATTCAAAATATATAAAGACAATTGTAACTATTGAAGTATCGTAAAGAAATATAACAAGATCTAATTTATAATAAAGATCTTATGTTTCTTCTTTTTCTGCCCACGTCTGTCACCACTCAAGACCCCTTGCGGTCAGACAATACATATACAATCGGGCAATGAATGTAATTCCGATCATAGTTATTCCGCGTCATGCGCCCGTTAAGTTAATGTTAACCTCATAAATGAATTCCCTTAACCTTTACGAACTACTCATTCGTTCATTTCATTCATTCATTCACTCACCTAGTGGGACAGGCGGGATGTAAGGCTTGACGTCGGACGGCGGTATCTTGGTAGCGAGGGGGGTGGCGGGCCCATTCACCAAGACTTGGCCGAGGTAGTTGAGCAGCTTCTGTGCTCTGTTCTGTGACGTTTTGAACATGAAGAGCTGAGGGTGCTCGTCAATGAAGTAAGTGTCTACTGCGCCTGTGGTGGATTGAATTGGTTTATTGTTATCATTAGTGAAATATTATGGGTCTTTTAAAGCGGGCAAAATAAACAAGATACCATCTATCAGTAGACTAAATGTCTAAAATAGGGGTAATTAGGACTAGTAATATCGAATGAAACGAGACATGAGATTATTATATAGCCTAAAGATATATAGAGGAAGTGAAATCAAAACCATATTAACTCCTTTAAAGGAGTAGTCTATCAAAAAACATTGATTATTTTAGATCTTTACAGCTGTCAAGTTGGTATGGAAAACTAACGTTTTTCATTGTTTTTTTTTTGTGGAAAACATTTAGCTTTACTGGTAGAACACAATATTAGACGGATGCTGATGATTTCAGTTTCAACCTTTATACAATCTCATCACACCTGACATAGGTTGTCTGGGAGAGATTGCTTGAACGATAAGATCGCTTTTTTACTTTATAAGTGTAACATATGAAGACAAAAAATATTATATATAAATAAATAAAGATCTGGTTGTGATGCTTACCATTAAGGAACTTCTGGTTTTCTAACACATTGAGCAAAAACGGTATATTGGTCTTAACGCCTCGAATACGGAACTCGCGTAAAGCTCGGTTCATTTTGGCTGCGGACGCTGGCAGATCTTGAGCGTGAGATATTACCTAAAAAAAATAAGAATTGTCTTTTCTCAGTGCTTAGTTCTTCAGCTTTTCAGTTAAAAAAAAAGGGTTTTAGCAAACACTACTCTAAGGGATGTGTTCTAGGCAACATAGACAATTATAAAGAAAATAGATGGCAGTCTAATATCTAACTTTCTATATTCTATAAGAAGCCGTCAATGAAGTTTACTCATGTGTTTATTACTGGCCATTAAATGTTTAGAATTATGTTATTTTATTGTTTTAATAAAAAATTAAATAATAAAACAATAAAAAAAATGTTACTAATTACGTTGAGAATTTGTTATTATAAATGAATCAGTTTGATTTATAATTTGAAGATTATAAAACTAACGAGTTTCTCGTCAGTACTCCAACGCAAAGAATAACATTTTAAAACTAATTCTTTAATCATGAAAAAAAAAAGTGTTTTATTCCACTCAGTGACTATTTCTCAATTTTGTAATACATATATTTATTATTAATTTTCTCTTATATTTCTTTTACATTATTTATTCGAATTATATTTTGAAATGGACGTTTTTAAAGTTAATAGCTATACCATTACTATCTATCCAAAATTAAGTTATAAATTATGCAAAGACTCCAAACTAAACATGCTTAAATAGGATTGGTTATAAAGAGTACCAGTATGAAGTTCAATAACGATACAAGGGAAACTTCATTTTATTTTGGACTCAGTCATTGTACTGTATCTTAAAACATTGAGATTAATATTTGCATTGTCAAAAAAGAAAAAAATAATGAAATTAATTTAGTACTGTAATCATTAATTTTTACTTGGTGGAATAAAGCGTAAAATAAATAAGTAGTTTCATCATCATCTTCCTACACTTATCCCAATCAATTGGGGCCGGCGTAATATGATTTTATCCATATTACAAAAAGATTTGGTTTTTAGTTTTACGACCGACCATCTGCCTGACGTCAACCCTCTTTGGGAATATAATAAAATAAATAAATAAGTAGTTTATTAGCACAAAATTATTTTTCACGTGTTTTATTACGTGTTGCATTCCACGTCACGCATAATGGTATTAATGTAATTTGTGTCAAAAAAATAAAACGGTATGCGAAAAAATATGAAATATCATTTAATTTTTTTTTTATAGGTATACCGTGTACATTAAGTGGGTCCAAGCTTTATAGAATCCTAATACATACAGCATCCAGTATAGAGATAGACAGGTATTATATACATAAGTAATACTTACTTTAACTAGCAGAGAGTCGTAGTAGGGCGATATGACAGCGCCGGCGTATGTTGACGCGGAATCGAGTCGGATGCCCATACCCTCACCAGATCTAGAGCGAGGTGATCAAATGCAAGGATAGTGAGTGTGAGTGGGAGAGAAGATATCGATGAATAAAAAATAAGTTATAATTTTTTATATTTAAAATGATATGGCAAAATTAGACTCGAGATTGGTTAGGTTTTCATTGGACATTAAGACAGGCAAAACTCACGGAATGAATATGACAATATTCTTCATAAGGACCAAATATTTAAATGTAATATATTTATCTATGGTATTCTATGGTCCATGGTATGTGTACAATACTTTTTATACCTAGTTAGTAAATTATCTTGGTATATGGAAATTAATATTTAAAAAGTTCTTTCTTTTCATTTAAGAGTTTCCTCTTGTTGGTAAAACTCATGCATTTAAAAAAATATCGTTCATCATATGCATCAAATAACAACAGAAAAGAACGCACGGCAAAGATGAGTAAAACATTATATATGGACTATTATACATGGTATTTTTTGTTTTATTATACATTTCAGGTGGTTGCTCACTAAACAAAATTAGACAAGAAATACTAGATGGCGCTAGAATCGAAACTGGTGGTTTTTGTTGATTATATTGTAATTAAACATAATTTTAAGTAAAATTTCTAAATCGGCGAGTGGCATTTATTATTATGTACGAATGTGATGTGTTAGGTAACGCCATTTTTTCATAAAGAATTTTGATCCGCACCGTCATAAACTTACTTGTATGTGTGTGTGTTCTTTACAAACTAATAGAATGTAAGAGAATAAAGATAAAAATTATGATAAATTATTAGTATATCGATAAAACATAAAGAAAGCCACTCGCCAATTTAGAAATTATATTTCAATTTACTTTAAGTATAAAATAACCAAGGCCACAAGTGTCGATTCTAGCGCCATCTAGTATTTCGTGTGCAACTTTGTTTAAGGACCAACCACATTAATAAGTAAACCAAATGTAAACTATTATTGTTTACTTGTTCCACATAGTGTAAAAAATTAACTAAATTATGTAGTAATCACTGAAAATACTGACCTAAACACTTCAATCCTGCCGGTGCTCGGTTGGAAGTTATTGCCTGGATCTTCAGTTGTGACTCGGCACTGTATGGCGAATCCTTCTGTTCGGATCTTGTCTTGTGTGAGACCTAATTCAGGTAGGGTCATGCCTTCGGCTACCCTGATTTGTGATTGCACAAGATCTACGCTTGTCACCTCTTCTGTTATCGTGTGCTCTACTTGTAGCCTGTAAAAACACGGGTTTTAAGAAATTAAAAGTCATTTATTTCTATAAAAAAAATATATGAAAAAAGTACAAAGGTACTGTAAGAGATCCCTTTATGGGATAAGTCCGCCATTGTATACTCTTTTAATGTGTCCAATGTAAATTATGTACAATAAAGGTTTTACAATACAATATAAAGGCAGTCAGATTGAATCTCATTTTTAATTGCATGCAAAATTGCATCCGCAATTTTTTTTACAGCACAGGGGGCAAAGGAGCATGTGGCTTACCTGATGGTAAGTGACTACCGCCGCCCATGATCACCCACAACACCAACGGCATTGCAGGTGTACTGCCGGCCTTTTAAAAAGGAATATGCTCTTTTCTTGAAGGTTATGATGCAATATTGAAATTCAGATGCGATTTGCCACCCTTGCTCCAAAAATTTATTTATTCTTCAGTACAGGTATATGTAAACTTAATGCTAAAATAATTCACTTCCAGTAAATAAACTCTCAATAAAAATACTGGCCAATGTTGGTAAATAGCGATTCTATTGCTAGTAATATACTCTTATTAGGTCGGTCAATCTCGGTGTAGTCTTCTCGGAAATCATCTATTCCTAGCGAATTCACTACGATGTGCCAACTGACCTGACTTCATCCTCACCTGTCATCCCACATTTGTGCCCCGCCAACTTATACAGATTATAAATAACATACCTAGCGTTGACTTCGATGAAGTAGAAGTTCCCTTTGTCGTCAAGCAAGAACTCGACGGTGCCAGCGTTCTCGTATCCGACGTGTTTTGCAAGGTGCACTGCGCAATCCACCATTTTTTGACGTACCTTTAATCAAAAATTTTTTAAATTATTTGATTTTCTATTAGTTTGTGTGCGACTACCAACACTTGAAGATTGAAAACTATTGTTATTACCATAATTGCCACAACCTTTCATATTAATCATCAATTCCCGATTGTCATTTTGTCCACGCATGTTTTGCAATTCGTGTTTCACCTCTAAATGATCAATATTTAGGCAAATTATAAGATCGCTGCACAGAGCCTAGTGTTACCTAAACTGCGAAGACACCAATAATGGTTACTAGAGTTACATAAAGTGAGATCATTTCTATTTATTTTTTAATGCATTACAACACAATTTATTCATTGACATTTTTTGTGATATAAAAAAATTAGAATCAGTAGCTGTAAATCCCGCACACTTGTTTAGCTATTCATGTGTATAATGTGTGCATAATATCGATTGTGTAAATAAAAAACTAACCTCAGGATCGAGCCGTGGCGCCGGCGCAATCTCGACGACCTTCTGATGCCGTCTCTGTACGGAGCAGTCTCTCTCATACAGATGCACGACGTTACCAGCCTTGTCACCTGTATGTTACATTTATCTATTTAAGTTATTATAATGTATCCATAGTCCTTCTAAAGATTGCAAAAGAATATTTATAAGAAATAAAAAGTACATTTTTCGCCGAACATCTATGATACGTTATGGACTTATTCGATTGAAAATAATAAATAAATAAATAATTACAATACAGTATGACTCGCAATATTTATTGTTAAACGATTGAAAATTATTAATTTAGACGCGGAATTGTGTAACTAGAATAATAGGTATAAATAGAATATGCTTTTTTACTACTATTTTTTCTAACGAGTAAAATGACTGTAAAAATAAATCTAATAAAATCTAATGTTTTTCATCATTCATTCACGTCTTCTGTCATTATCGACGCTACAATTTTTTTTTCGGAGCATAATGAATATAAATGTGAAAAATCAGTTTACAATTGACGGCATTTCACCCGCACGAATCATTATATAAAGCGCCTTATATGCTAAGTAAGAACATAACTATATACCAAACTTCATTCAAACCCGTTCAATAGTTTTTTTATACAACTTAGAATGGCAAACAAGGTGACGGCCCACCTGATGGAAAGTGGTAACCGTCGCCTATAGACATGAGCAGTACCATGGACAGAACAGAATATTTACTGTTTCGCCCATGATACCCCCCATGCGTTGCCATTTCTGAGGACTTAGGTGTTATTCCTCTGTACCCTGTAAATTTACGCCATATCCCACCCTTCAAACCGAAACACAGCCATGCAAACACAACTACTACACGGTAGAAACACGAATGGGACAGAGGTACACAAGCAAACGACTTTTGTACAAAGTCACCCTCTGGTTTTTGCGTGAAAGAGTAGCAAACACCATCCATCCATCGTTACAAACATTAGCATTTATTATATTAACAGGATTACAGTGACTCCAACTGACCCAATAACTGCACTTCAATATGTCTCGGCCGCTCAATGAATCTCTCAATGAACATGGATCCGTTGCCGAAAGCACCGAGCGCTTCGGACGAGGCTCGCTCGAACGCGGACGCTACGTCACTCATCTCGCGGACCACTCGCATGCCTCGACCACCACCGCCGTATGCAGCCTGACAAAAACAAATATCCATTAGTTTTACGCGCGACTTTGTCTGCATGACCGGGATATAAACTGTGTCAATTAACTAAAACCAATCCTTAAAACCAATATGAGTAATCATTAATCACTTTTAATCTCAATTTAAGTTATTTTATCTTAGCAAAATATTTATATCACAAAAATTTTTAAAAATAAATTAAAAATAAAGATTGTGACCCATAAGAATAAAAAAAACCGACTTCAATTATGGCAAAACCAGTTTCGATAAAATAAAGTTTTTATCAGATCAGTTCAGTAACATTTTACACAACATATACTCTCTGATGTCCATGTCTATAGGCAACGGTTACCATTTTCCATCACGTGGGCAATCAACTTGTTTGCCATTCTATCATATAAAAAAATCACTTTTTGGCATTACCTCTACGAGAGTATGTTGCGCAATATTTTTTTTATTTATTTATATAATTCTATATATTTTAAATATAGTAAAAAAATATTACCTTGAAAATGACAGGTAGTCCATGTTTCTTACAGAATTCCAAAGCTTCCTCTTTGGTAGTTATCGGGCCATCAGTACCGGGGACAATGGGCACCTCTGGAACACAATAATAAACGAGATAAATGATACGTGCAAAATTTTTTTTCATAAATACATTGTGTAGAGAATATTTTTTGAAATTCAAATACTAATTTCTATTTATTTATTATCATTATATTTAGTTTAAAATTATGCATGCTGCATAATATAATGTTTTATGGCTACATACGAGGTCTATCCGGAAAGTTCGTATAAAAGTGTTCTGGAATGCGAGAAAGAGGAGTGGGGAGGCCAGGTAAGCGCAGGACCCCTTCCTTATGTCCCTAACAATGCTTCAGTTCTGGTCTGACCGCCGTGCGGTGCGAACTGGCTTGTCACGCAATCTGTGAAGTTACCTCTTAACGAAACCCCGTCGGCATGGAGCCCGCTTCCGTTGAAGAGCAGCGCGTCGTAATCAAGTTTCTCTCGAAACTCGGCAAGAATGGTCGTGAAATTTTTGCCGATCTCAGAACAGTTTATGGGGATGATGCTGTGAAGGAACCAACCGTCCACAAGTGGCTAAAAAGGTCAAGACAATGTTGATTGTTTTTTTCGATGTTCGGGGGATTGTCCATCAAGAATTCGTCCCTCCAGGCCAGACAGTTGATGGAAAATTCTACGTCGATGTGCTCAGACGCCTCAAAGCTCGTGTGGCACGAGTTCGTCCAGAATTGGCGCGAGAGGGGCGTTGGATTCTTCACCACGACAATGCCCCTGCCCACACCTCTCTTGTTGTCCGTGAGTTTTTGAGTAAAAATTCCATTACGGTGACCGAACACCCCCCTATTCGCCGGATTTGGCCCCGTGTGACTTCTTCTTGTTCCCAAAAACCAAATTGGTACTTCGGGGGCGGCATTTGGGGGACATAAATGAGATAAAAAAAGCTACGACGGGGCAGCTGAGAAACCTACAACCAGAGGACTTTCAAGGAGCCTTCTCACAGTGGAAACGGCGTTGGCACAAGTGCATTATGTCACAGGGGGAGTACTTTGAAGGGGATAAAATTGATTTACCTGAATAATTGTAAAATAAAATTTTTAAAAAACTTTTATACGTACTTTCCGGACACACCTCGTATAAATTTGCTAATAAATTTGTAAGAAACATTGTCGTAAGAAGCGTCTAAGGGAACTTAATGATCGAGGAATGGGCAGCAGCATCCTTCTTTAAACATCTCCAAGGCCTAACCAACCAACCAACCATTTTGTTGCCAATCCGCCTGCCCAGCGTGGCAACTACTGGCAAAACCCCTGAATAGAGGCAGACCTATGTTCAACAGTGGATAATTAACGGCCGATATGGTTGGAATACCATACCATATAATTAATTACTAGCTGACATTAAAGATCTTAAAGTTTTTAAAAACAAACTATTCAAATGGCTATCAGAGGATTGTTTTTATAGCAATAATGAATTTATGAAATTTTTATTATTTTGACTATTAATAAATTATATTGCGTAATATTTTTAAAGTTAATTATTTTAGATAAATGAAATATATAATGTTGTTTTCTATAAATTAATTAGAATTAAATTAAATTATATGGTTACATTGTACATTGCATGCCAATTATAGTTTTGGCAGGACCTGTAGGCACTTGAATAAATGTATAATAATCCAGCAATATGTACCATGAACTCTCACAAATATGTAATTTCATTTCATAGAGATTTGACTATTGCGAAAAAGAGTTATTAACTTTTTTCTCTTAAAACGTTATAGGGGCAATTCTTATAAGGTTTAAAGCAATCGCCATAGCGCATAAGGGGCAATTTTTCTATTTATATAAAAATAATATAAAAATTTTTGTGTTTTTCTTGAAATACACCTAAATTTTGTAGATTGTTATATTGTATTTAAAGTTATAAATACATACTGGCATCAATAGCAGCTTTCCTGGCTGCGACTTTGTCACCCATCTGCTGCACTACCTTCGGGGAGGGACCGATGAATCGCATGCCGGCGTCCACGATGGCCTGCGCGAAGTCTGACCTGTTTCATATCCATTATTTTGTTTATTGTCACGTATATTTTCTTTTAAATTTCCCATTTAAAATGCATGAATTTAGAAAGCAGAATTATGTGCCAATAAAATATATAGTGCTCTGCTACAAGATTTTGCTTTGCAAAGAAAAATATGGCTTCAATTGTCAAATTTTATTGTCTGCAAAATAATTATCAAAATCGGTATTCGCGTAAAATCTTCTAATCAGAAGTTTAAGTCTAATCAGAGTTCGCGTAAAATCTTACTATATTGTGATTTAAGTGCACACACAACAAGTACTTGTTGCCATAGTAGCAATTTATGACTGTAAAAATTGTAAGCATGACTTTGAATATAAATAAGATCGTGTTTCACAAAAAAAAACCGACACTAATTCTGGAAAAACCAGTTATTTTGGTTTAAAAACTAAACTACAGTACCGATTTTAATAAAATTTCTATGAGCTAATCTGCAAGTATATTTTTCAGATAAAAAAAAAATCGGTATATAACTGATGGAGTTATGAAGAATAAACATGAAGAAAAAAAAATATAACCGAATTGAGAGCCTTCCTCCTTCTTGCAATCGGTTGAAAAGAATATAATAAAATAAAAAGGCCAACCTTTCTGATAATAATCCATAACCAGGGTGTACGGCGTCGACGTCATTCTCCTTGGCCACTCGGATGATCTCCGGGATGCTGAGGTACGCTTCGACTGGGGGCAGGCCCTTTCCAACTATATACGCCTCGTCGGCTTTTTGTCTGCAAAGATTATCACAAACGCATTTTAATTTTATAACGATATTATTTATAAGTACTCGTATATACTTTTGCTTGTTACTATTGTTTATTCGTTTGTAATGGATAAACCCAAAAACTACTCAACTAATTTCAATTTTTTTTTCTCTATAGCAGTGATTCTCAACCACTGTGCCGCGGCACTTTTGTGTGCCGCCAAATTTTAAAAGTGTGCCGCCAAATTTTGAAATCGTTAAATATGTGCCGCAACAAAAAAAAGGTTGAGAATCACTGCTCTATAGAAAGCTACAATATCATTGTACTCAGTGATGTTACTACATAGGCTATATATTATTTTTTAAAATACTATCTGCTTGTGCGAAGCCGGGCCGGATCGTAACATCGTTTTCTGAGTAACATTAGATATATCATCATCATCATATCAGCCGCTAACGGTCCATTGCTAAATATAGGCCTTCCTCATAAGGGGGTTTTTGCCAATATTTGCCCATGCTTGGTAGGCGGATTGGCAACCGCAGTTAGACTTTGGCGATATTTTAAGAGGGACACTGCTGTCCATCCCTCGACCATTAAGTTCTCTTAGTCGCCTCTTATAATACCCACGGGAAAAGAAAGGGTGGCTCCTTCTATGCTGGGTTCACACGCCAATGTTCAAGTAAAATGGATCATACTATGATTTTTTAACCCACTTGATCGGTCATAGAAATTGCAAACCGAGCGTTAGTATATTTGGCTTTAGTAATAAATATAAAAGAAAGCTTTAATTAATAATTTTATAGTTCTAGAATTTACCTGTGCATCTGCAATTTGTCCTGTTCGCTGTATATGGCGACAGAACGGATACCCAGTTCCGTACATGCTCGGAAAACTCTAATTGCGATCTCACCACGATTTGCAACCAGAACACTCCTTATTGGTTTGTATTCGACGGATTTGGAGTCCTGTAAATATTTTACGGTCATGAATATGAAATCTTTTTTATTTATAACAACAATGATAAGTGAATGAAGCAAGAGATAAGAGAATAGGTGGTCTTTGTAACAAGTTGCTACGCATAAACGTAAGGGGGCCGATATTTGATCACGCCGATTTTTTTTTTCATACAACTTAGAATGGCAAACAAGCTGACGGCCCACCTGATGGAAAGTGGTAACCGTCGCCTATAGACATTTTCAGTACCATGGACAGAACAGAATATTTACTGTTTCGCCCATGATACCCCCATGCGTTGCCATTTCTGAGAACTCAAGTGTTATTCCACTGTACCCTGTAAATTCACGCCATATCCCACCCTTCAAACCGAAACACAGCCATGCAAACACAACTGCTTCACGGTAGAAACACGAATGGGACAGAGGTACCCAAGCAATTGACTTTTGTACAAAGTCTCCCTCTGGTGTAGAAGTGAATACAGTAGTGGGTTACATACATCCCTAATTTCTGTTACGTTAATTGTAATTTTTCAAACTGTTCTAGGAAAACGATAATAGAAGTAAATTGGCATAAGATGTCACGATACAGTAAATAATGTTATAAAGAATAGCAATATGACTATTTTTTTTTATTTTGAAATTATTAAATATGATTTCAAAACGTGTAATATTTCGGATGTGAGTATTTAAAGATAAATATGTTACATACATATATATTTTTTTATATTCGACCGATTTCAAAAAGGTTCTGCATTCGACCTACTTTTCTGTAGACTTAAATCAGTTTTTTTTTATCATAACTTAGCGACTTTTTGTTTCAACAAATTGTAGAAAATGATGTTAATTAATTATTTAAGATTTGTTAACAAATAAAACGTATCATACAATCGATCTTTCATCTATTATCTAAATAGAAGCATTAATAATAAAATTTTGCTGAGCCTTTATTAACAAAATTCTAATTTAAGGGTAGACTGCCCTTACGATTACATTAATTTATAAAATCAGTACGACCTCTAATACTAAAGATATGAGCTAACTTAAATACAAAAAAAAATATATATATAGCTTGATAACCTTCTTGTTGTCATTTAAAAATAGTTGAAACAAATTTATTTTATCATATCGTAGAATTTTTTATTTCGTATCTCGTTTTATTTTTACGCAGTTTTTTTAAATCTGTTTTTAAATGGACAATAGCATACACTTTGAGATCTGAATACGAATTATGTCAATGTACATACCGGGTACACAAATATCGTCATTACGTGTGTCAAAGATATCTAAATAATGCTATTTATGTCTTTAAGACCCGTAGGTGTCATAAAGAGAGATATGGGTACAGTTGGTGTCGTTTTTGACACTTACAAGACTTTTGGCTTTAGTGTGCATTCATAAAAATGGTAATATTTTTGATATATCAGTAAAAGATAAACAAAGTATATTTTACTTGTGGACTATACCTAGAGTTAGTGGCTAACAATATCGAAGCAGAGATATTCGAGTTCAAAATTCAACAACCATCTGTAGTATTATCTCAGCTTTCATATAAATATTTATTTTAAGTAGTACTAAAATTTACAGTGACTGCTATAAAAATAAATAAAGCTACTAGTCAATAAGTAATAGAGTTATTTTTTAGTTCTAAACGGATTTGGATGTTTATTTATACAATCGATTATCTTATGTTATTTAATTAGTGATTATTCTTGTTCATAGTTGAAAATTCGTTAAGAAATAAACACGATAGTTTCCAGGGAGGATCGCGTGGAGGTCGACCTGACAGGGTAGGTTACTAGCAGTGGGGATTAATCTTCTTATCAGCAACAGTATTAATTTTGTCATTGTTAAAATAAGATTCCGTTCCGTGGAATTAAATCTTATTTTATTCTAGCTTTTACTAGTATCTTCGTTCGTTTGACCAAGATATGATCACTGATCGTGATAAAAAGTAACCTATAACCTTCTTTATCCCATATAGTACGAATATATAAAATTTCATAGTGATTGGTTAAGCCGTTAAGGCGCTATAGGGTAACAAACAAACCCCACGTTCTTTCAAGAGAGTTAGTTGTTCAGTTTTTTTTATGCAGCTTAGAAAAGCAAACAAGCTAACAGCCCACTTGATGAAAATTAGTAACCGTTGCCTATAGACATCAGCAGTACCATGGACATAATAGAGTTTACTGATTCGCCCATGATACCCCCCCATGCGTTGCTACTCCTGTGGACTAAGGTGTTATTTCTTTGTACCCTATAAATTCACTGCCATATCCCACCTTTCAAACCGAAACACAACTGCTTCACGGTTGAAAGATGAATGGGACAGAGGTACCCAAGCAAACGATTTTTGTACAAAGTCTCCAGTATAGTTTACAACAAATACGATCAATACAAGTTCTAGGTTACTATCTCTTCTTAAGTATGTCTTAGATTTACTTATCATAATCTCGAAAACTGTAAGAATCTTAATGATACATGTATACTCAGTTTGTCTCTTTTATCACATGTACATGACAAATTGTCATGCGATTAGACATGTTGTTATGTCCGCTATTGCGATACCCGATAGATGTAAAGATTGTACCATAATAGGTTTGTATCTATTTGTCCTACAAATATTTATTTAACGAGGTTTATTATCGTAAAATCTCTTATCGTATTTTGTTTTCCGCGCTATTACAGGTCACTGGCTATACGACTATAAAATATAAGTATGATTTTATTTTTTATACTGCTTGACATAGGCCTCCTTCATAATAATAGTGTGGGGGGGGGGGGGGGGATGTAACAGCTTAGTAAACAAACTTAGACCAGACGCGCTAGCATAGCCAAATATAATTCGCATACTGTATCAACGGGTTTTGTAATTTTTGGATCATGACTTTTTGTTGGAAATAGTCAGTTTTACTGGTTCCTTGAGAGAGTTTCCCGAGACTTTGTTCTCTCCATCTGACAATGGTGGTGTAGTAGTTTAACACTATCTCACTTTCCAATGGTCACAAGTTCGTTTCCCGTAACAAATAACAAATATTTGTATTCATGAACTACGTTAGAATTATGCCCGCTACTTCGTACGCGTGGATTTCAAAAATAGGAAAATCATTGAACTTCTAGATGGCGTATCAACATAAAACATATAGTATATACCAGATTTTAAATTAGATAATCAGAAACACAACAATGACAACCGCATCGAATTCGATGCAATAATTTATGCGTGATATTAAAACAAACCTACAGACAGACGACTGTTTTGACATCTATTAGTCTTATTAATACCTCTCATATATGTTTTTCTTAAATATCTTCCACGTACGGATATAATCTAGTTATAATTTTATTATATTACTAAGGCATGTCTGTTTGTATTGGTCTGGGCGTTCTCAATCAAAAAGACTTCAAAAAGAAAGAATTACACAATTCAGTTTTAATTTTTTTATGTTTGTTACCTCATAACACTATCAGTTCTAAACCGATTTGGAAAATTCTTATTTTATCTGAAAGGATATACTTACAAATTGGTCCGATAGAAATTTTATCGAAATCGGTTAAGTAGTTTAGTATTTAGGTTAAAATAACTGGTTTTGCCACAATTGAAGTAGATTTTTTTGTGGGACACAACCTTTTATTATGTATGAAACCAGTCGTCTAAAACCAAAATAAAACTCTGCTTAATTTGGAATGACACCGTACACTATGTTTAATGATACTTATTTCAGTGAATCTCTTTGTCTCTATATTTTCATTACATTCAGTTTTTTTTTTTTTTGAGGTTTAAAACAACTTCCTAGAGCGCCGCATGCTTTGTTCATTGATAAAAGGTGGGGGGAGTTATCAATACAGCATATTTTATCAGACATACTTTGATCCCTTAAAACTAATTTAATTATATACGAACATGATATAAGGCGACACAAATAATGAAGTACTGGTATCTTTATCTATATAAATAGGTACTATATTATAGAATAAGTATATAATATAAAGATGTTTGAAGTTCGATTCATGATACATAAAACTGTTGTCATTGAGTAACTAATCATTGTATTTTTGATGAGATTGGACCTGAAGTTTTGAAGAGGTAACCATTGCCTTTAAATATAGATAATTCCATGGGCATCATAAAATATCTACAATGGCAACTCATATGGGGTATCCATGTGATGATGAGTAGCCATACCAGAAGACTAAGATAATTAAGAACAGAAGCATAATTCTTTTGTTATTAGTTCATATGTGTTACAATTTCAGGTAATCTGTGATACCCATGGAGTTGTCTATATTTAAAGGCAATGGTTACCTCTTCCCATCTTTTGGTCCATTATCGTCAAAAATCTGTCGTAGGAGGGGACTTTTAGTCCTTTCTGGAAGCCATGGTGATTATAATAAATTTATCACGATAGACCACCTGACCTAATTTCCACTTAACCTATTAACCCTTTATCTTAACCCGACAGCATATTCTGATAACGCAAACAAGGTTACCAATCCTTAACATAAAAAAAAAATTGGAGGGTGGGATAAAGGTTTGTCAGTATTGCGGATTACCAGTTCCATTGCTAGCAATATACTCTATCAGGTCGATCTCCGTGTGGTCCCCCTGGAAAATATCGTGTTGAATTTCAGGTGTATTCATCACGATGGGCTAACTGACCTGCTTTTTCATTCTCACCTATTATCATCTCTCACTAGTGCTCTGCCAACGTATACAGTTAGTGCAGGAGTAGTTACAACCCCGGTATCGCCAATAAAAACCCTTTTATATAAAACCTTAAATAATAAAATTTACTCGTAATCTCAAAATGCGTAATATTTTGTCTATATCCCCACAAAAACAGTGTCATTGTATCAACATAGAGGTCAATTCAGATTAGACGAAACAGTTCGAGCATAATTTACTGTCAATTAAATATCAACTTTATTTAGATTAAGTAGAATTCTAAATGCTATAGAAAAAGCAATTTAGACCAGTGGACAGTGGTGTCGAGGTTAGGTTCGAGCATGCTCTTTATGACTATACCAGAATCTTAGTTGAGGAAAAGCCGCGAGTGAGCGGGGCATAAAAAAATAGACGTCGCTAGCCGTTGTTTACATCGCTCGACTTCGGTTACTATATACCTAATTATACATAATATGTTTCCATTAACAGTAATAAATTAATAAATTTTTATGAAAAGTGCCTCAGATAAATGCAAAGATTTTAGCATAATTTCTGCTAGTTGTAATTCCTTAATCTTAATTTATACTACTATGGCTAAATTAATCCTAAATAGGATGAGTACTACATATACATAGTCTAAGTTTCGGCCATATACGATTTTGATACTAACATAAAAAAAAAAAAAAAAAAACTTTATACATTATAAAAAAGTAATTCATTATCTATTTTTTTTTTTATGATTAGACTAATTTCAGGTTGTCAATAGGGGTCATAATTAGGCATAATTATTAAATGGGGAACAAATTTGTTTACGTTCGGAAATTATCTAATACATGATTGGACGTGTAATTTTTTTTATCGTGATAATTGCACATTAATATGTCACTTAGTGTAGCGCCAGTGTTGATACGAAAATCCCTCTCGTTATAATTATCAGATAAAACTTAATGGATAAGTAATGAGATTAATGAGCTTTTACGGTTACGCAAGTTACATATTCATTATTCGTGACTGCATTCGCTTAATTATTTTGTCACATAACTTATTTTCACCTTGAGTTTAAAAAGTAGTAAGTAACGAGTACTTACTTTTAACTCAAGGTGAGGAGAGGCTTTATCCAAATCTGTTCGCTAATGTGGTCACAAACGACGTCACAAAGTCATAGACCAAACTTGCATTAAGATTTATAGGTACATGGGTATACAAGGTCAAATCGAAACCGTTGGCATCTTTTTAAGAAAGCGTTCTATTAAACTAAATGTTTTTCGTAAATAAGTATAAATCGAAAAATAACAGATAATATTTAAGTTTCTAAAGTTAACTAGACAACTAGATCTGTTAGTATGGGAGGCTCAAACTTCAAAGCTTTAGAGTTACAAACTATTCGATATAAAGTCTTCTAATCAAATATCTGTTGACTATTTTATTATTATATTAGCCGGTAACTTTTCACTGCTAAACATAGGGCTTCCTATGTTCAGCAGTTATCTATTATATAATTACAAGGGGAATTTTGCCAGTCATTCTCGGCAGGTGGGCTAGTAACCGCAGTTAGGCTTTGGTGTTGTTCTCAGAGGGAAGTTGCTACCCATCCCTCGACCATTAAGTTACCTTTGTCGCCTCTTACGACATCCACGGGAAAGCAAGGGATAACCCTTTCTATGTCAGGACCACCCGATGTTTGTAGTTTGTATTTGATACATGTGAATAACTTGAAGTTTACGCCAAAGTCTTTAATTTATTATATTTTGATTAAGCCACTAAAATAACAGCATCATATTTTTATGGCATTACAAATTTTTTTTTTTTAATTCTAAACAGGTGTCTTTAAACTTTAGACAAATTTATTAATTTATTTATCTATTTATCTTCATGCCAAATCCTTCGCATGGCAGAGAAAACTAAGTGCGAAAGGCCAATTTTTGCATACATCTTTTGCGTCCTTTACTTTTATAACTCTTCTTGTAAATGCACGCCGGCTCCTAAGTCTTTTCACTGCTTCTTCAGATAGAATATATTAATTAGATTAAAAAGAATCTAAATTACTCACTGTGGTTGCAGTACGGCATTTTGCTGAGCTCCATGCTTGAAATTGGGACGCTGATGCGCGTAGCGCGTAACGTGCTTTAAGTATTTGCATATTTATAACAAAATTATATTAATTTCTTTTATAAAATAAATAAGTACTGGTAACTTGTTTTTTATTGTAAAATATGTCTAAAAAAATTATTTCATTTTGATTAAATTCTTAGCTAATAAAAATTTGACTAGTTTTTATCTATCTTTTTCGTTCAGTCGTGCTTTCGGCGCGTTCCTTTATCTGTAACAAAATAAAGGGTATACATTAAAATAAGAAATAATATAGAACGGTGTTGGTGTTTACTTGGAGAAGCAATTAAATAAACCTAATAAAAGCTGGCCAGAGCAGGCATTTAATTAAGAAGGAAAATTCTTTAAGAAAATCTTACCAATAACTGAAAAAGGTGAAGCGGACAATGCCCTATTAAGACGGTCCATAAAAGAATCTTTTAATCAGGTAGATATAATCATCTATATAAATATAAATGAAATGTCGAATGTATTTCAAAACGGCTGCATGTATTTGGCTAATTCTTTTTTTTTCATTTTATTTTGATACAAACAGTCATTACAAAAAAATATAATAACTAACTATTCTAAGTTACATAAAAAAATGGATGAAAAAAAAAGAAAATCTACAATAACGTAATATAGTAAAAACGGGTACATACAGAGTTGTAAATGATTGATATATATGGTTTAGCAACAAAAATATTCTTTAAACATATCTTTTGTTGTATTCATAATTGTCACAAGAAGGTGTGTGAAAGAAAATGTGGAAAATTAAATCGTATGGAAAAATACATCCGTCCGACGTCGGGGCGAGCAACTAGTTTGTAATACAAACCCATAAATTACGACCACATATATGGTGGAGTGATATAATGTAGCATGTAGAATTTCTGGGACAGACGAATCCGGTTATAAACATTATCTGGCTATTACTGTACACAGATATAACACGACCGCGGAGTATTAAACCGAAGCAATCATAAACATATGAACTTTGTACCTTAAGATACGCAAGCGATTGTAGTAGTAAAAAAAAAAATCTCAACAATGATTTGACAAATATCTTTAGAGAAAAAAATGGGCTCTGAAATTAGCGATAGAGATTATAACAAATCATCAATTAAAAATTACATATTTTTTTTAATTGTGGTGGTTCGTTATTAACAAAAATATAATACTAGATGGCGCTAGAATCGATACTTGTAGTTTTTTGTTGATTATTTTATAACTAAAGATAATTTGAGGTATAACTTTAATTGATAAGTGGTATAGCATTTATAAATCCAATTTAGAAGAAAAAAAATATTTAACAACAATTGTAATTGATAGTTAGTTATTGATAAGTATAAGAAACTGATGGAGAAGAAAAGTTCTTGAAGTGGTGACCCATTATAAGCAAACGCTGTGTAAGACGACCCCCATTGGATGGACTGAAGTGTTCAAAAGCATTCCAGGAAGTTATGACAGGTAGTCTATGGGGGATGCCTATGTTCAGCAGGTTTTTTTCAGTGGGTGATAATGTAATGATAACCCCGTTTGCGCTATCGGTATATGCTAGCGGGGCACCAGTGAGGGATGATAGGTGAGGATGAAAACAAGTCCGATAGCCCATTGTGTCGAATTTTACTAGAATTAACCGCAAAAGCTATTACTAGCAATACGCCTTATTAGGTCGAAACCTAATAGGACGTATTGCTAATAATGCGGAAATTAGACCCCATTACTAACAATCCTTTTCCCCGCTATTAAGTTCAACAGTGGACGAATAATGGCTGAGATGATGATGATACGAGTAAATCTTTAAGATGGAGTAAGTACCACTCCATCAACGATAAGCTTGGTTTCAGAAACACCATTAACGATACATTATCTAATCCATTTTGAAAATAGGAGCATGTGGGTTTATATATTATCTCAAGGATACAATTCTTGACATAAATCCGATTATCGAAAAAATTGTATTACTGATATGATTATACAGATTATAGGTATATAAATACACAGCCATACAAATTATTGAACTTATGTAATAATAAAAACATGAAGTTTGCACTTCTCTGTGATTATGCGATAACATATCTATAGGCAAAAAAAATCATTGATAACGATAAAATATTGTTAGTAAATAAATATTTTCTATTATGAAATTTAGAAAATTGATGAATAATAATTATGCCACCTGCAACGGCATAATTACATTTTATTTTTCCAAAAAAAAAAAAAAGATTTTAATCATTTTAAAAACAATGAATGACAAGATGTTTCGTAGACACATTAGATTGAAAATATTGGATTTTTCTTTTGTGTAGTGTAACCGTTGCCTATAGACATGAGTAGTAAGTACCATGGATATAACAGAGTATACTGTTTCACCCATGATACACCCCATGCGTTGCCATTCTTGAGGACGCAGATGTCATTCCTTTGTACTCTGTAAATTCACTGCCATATCCTACCTTTCAAACCGAAACACAGCCATGCAAACTTTTGTCCAAAGTCTCCCTCTGGTAAATTTGAATTTAGAACACGAAATCATGTCTATAAGTAGAGGCTCCTTAGACTCGATCAGTTTTTGCTTGAAAACTGCCATATTGCATTGCACTGCATCTGCATGTTACTTAAAAATCTTTCTCGCCTTTGGTCACCAGTTTTGCACTTGGCCGTTTAGCTTGCTGATCTTTTAGTTAGTTTTTAATATTCAGAAAGTATATTTGAGTTCCACTCTTATCGGAGATTGGACAATATAAGGGCCTTTTTAATTTTTGAAGCTGCCGCTCTAAAGAACGAAGCAGTGCTGCCACCAAACTGCCCCTGTAAATTCTTCAGTCAAGAGTACCGCCTTCTTTCAGCACGTCTTTTACCAGCAATTTTGCTTCAGATGCTGTTTAGATTAGCTGGAGTATTTTGTACTTTTCATTCCTAATAACGTGACCTAAGTACGACATTTTCCTCAGTTTAACAGTGTTCACAAGTTTTATCTTTTAAGAAAGTATATTCAATATAAAATACACTGTAACTATAGAAGTTAAGACTTAGTATCGATTACATGCTAACGAAGCTTGATTATTAATAATAAACTTTAAACAGTTTTGCATTGGTGTTAATTTACATTAATCGAGTGCATACCGGTTTTATAAATGGTAATTTCCTCACAACACAACACAATCTTAACCCTGAAAGGTCAATTACCTTATAACTGTGTCCTGTTTTCTGGACCAAAACGTGAAAGTAATGAGATTTTAATTATCTTTCGAATTATGGCTACATATTCCACCTTTTTATATTTCTATGAATTAATTTAAGGTGCGATTTAAAAAGATACATAAGATCTACTATGAAAATCTGTACGAAATTTGTAACCCGAATAAAACGTCATTATATTAAAATTATCAAAGAATATATAAGATACCTATATATAATTTATAATTTAATATCTTATTTATATTAAATTATTAACATTGAAAAAGTTTTTTAGACAATTGGATACGATGGGGTTCGAAATCTGAATGTGTTCGATTAACCTGTTTAGGATTCCCAAATGCAATGTCACTCATTTAAAATATTTTCAAAGATTATTGTTAAAATAGGTGTATGGAAAATGAAACATTTCCCGGGACCGATTTTCAACTTACTTCAAAAAGAAGAGGGTTTCGATTCGTTGTATTTTTTTTTAATATTTGTTACCTTATAACTTATAAGTTAGAAACTGATTTGAACATTCTTTTTTATCTGAAAGGATATAATGAATACTTACAGATTGGTCCCATAGAAATTTTATCAAAATCGGTTCAGTAGTTTAATTTTGCAATCAAAATAAGTACCTTTGCCATAATTGAAGTCGGTTTTTTGTGGAACACAATCATGTAGTGTGAAATGTCTGAATTACTTCTCTTCTTTCTAATTATAATTACCCTATCTTTAATTACTTTCTAGAACTATCTAGATATGATAGACTGACTAAATACACTCACGCACGCGTAACGGTAAGCACAAACACGAAGAATAATCGGAAAAAACGAATTATGTAATGTGTACCACAGCAGCGAATAAAAATGGTGCATGTTCGTAGTCCTATAAATATAATAAATCTTAATGTAATATTATACCTATTAAAGAAATTGTTAGTAATGGGGTCCATCAGGCCCATTGCTGGCAATATACCTTATCCGGTCGACCTCCACGCGGTTCCCCCTGGAAACCATCATAGTTCATTCTTATGGAATTCGTCATGATGGGCTAACTGAACTGCTTTCATTCTCACCTATCATTTATTACTGGTGCCCCGTCAGTGTATACCGACAACGCAGGCGGGGTTACCATTGCATTATAATCTATTAAAAAAATATCATACCTACGCTACGAAATGCTGTTCACGCGTAGAATTAATTTTAAATTATGCAATGAACTACAATATACATGTCTAGACGCGATTTATACGCGATTATGTCGAGACCTTGATAGGGGTCATAAACTTGCCCTTGTAGCCATAAAAACATCAAACGTCCAATAAAACGTCAGACCGTACTATTTTTACGTTTCGTTTTGTTCTTTCAGAATTCTGAATTCAACAGTTTCTTTTATAACTTGAATGAAATTATTAAAACATCACTTGAATTTATTTGGGTTAGGAAAGAAGTTATTATGAATTTGAAAATTACAAAATAGCCAATTCTTTGCAAAGCAAAATGTACTTGTTTGCACTATACTTTAAATATACTACGTATACATTATATGGATATAAGTACTTAATATGTTTTTTTGTGGTATAAACATTTGAAATAAATAATTTATACTGTTATGACCCCTACATATATATATATATATATATATATATATATATATATATATATATATATATATATATATATATATATATATATTAGGAGTACAAATAAGTTTCCGCCGTTTTATTGTGGATGGCGCGGCACGGAGTTTCGGTTAGCTTTCGCAGATGATAACCGGCTTAAAAAATAGTTTCGACATTCAAGACCAACATAACCTATTAATATTATTGATTTGATATTGGTAAAATATAATTTTTATAACTTGAAAATGTCAAAATTTGAGCCAAATAAGCGTCATTTGCGGGAAATATTAATTTACTTCTTTAATTTAAAGAAATCTGCTGCTAAGGCGCATCAATTGCTCGTAGAAGCATATGGTGAGGGTGCTTTGAAGAGAACGTGTCGAGTGGTTTCAAAAGTTTAAAAACGGTGATTTCGACGTAGA